TGTTTAGGTGCACCGACGTCGGTAAAATGGACATGTATTATATATCAAATGAAAGGATACTTTTTTTTTCTTGTTATTTTATTTATTGATTGACTGATTTGTTTATTTAATTATTTATTGTCAGAAGTTAACAATGTTTTATACCGATACAGATTGAGAAACAGAGCAGTCACAAATACCACGTTTAACCTGGACGCAACATTACATGTGCTCATTTGTAGGCCCTATTTTGTCAAGAAACATTAATTGTTTTGTGTAGAGCACAAACCCTTTGGGCATTGAGCATAGACTGTGTTAAATTTCGGATTTAGAACAAATGTAAGTATCTTTCTACTTTCTTTTCTACCCAAGTGTCAGAGAGTTGCAAACAAAGCGTCTGGGGTGGGGACAACGTCGCGTTTCTTCAGCAGCTGTTTCATGGGGCTTTACCTAGGCTAGGGCTTAAGGCTACATGATTATTCTGTAGGATTCTTATCGGGGCCATAATGTTACTGATGACTACTCCATCGTTGGTACGATTTGCTTTCCCAAGAATTGCATTGATCTAAAGGCGTTGACCCTGTGAGATAGTGCTTTGTCATGTACATGTACGACGTGACGTTCCAGCACTTGTGCGATGTAGTCCTCCGAAACGAAGCCTTCCGTTGATTCCAACGAGTGAGGTTTTGTTCATTCCCACCAGGCCACACCAAACCGTTGGCAGTTTCGTGGTCTCTGTTAATCAATGATTATTTCCAAAATTTAATTAACACAGTCCATGCTAAAAAAGGGCTGGGTACTCTACACGAAACTAAAACTCGTAAATAAAATACATGAGTAGGCCTGTATTGGATCTTAAGTCCGAGTTTTTCTTGTTATCTGTGATTGCTGTGGTGTCCAATCTGTTAGCAAATGTCTTAATAAAAATTGTTCTTTGCAGAGACAACAAATTTTCTCCATTCATTTGAGATGCAATACGACATGTACATTCCACCAATGTTAATTAATACACTCCAATACATGTGCGAACACATCTTTACCTTTCATTAATTTCACACAATTATACCAAGCATGAAATTTAAGATTAATGTTTCGGACGACTCGATCTTGTCATAGATGAAATATTAATGTGTCAGATGAAAGTAGAATTCGCGAAGCTTTAAACTGGGATACTGCATGAGTGAGTAGTGCAAGACTGTAACACAATGATAGGGTGATTTCATTATTTTTTTTGCTCCACTATATATTGATTTTTCATCATCATATATATATATTTAATATATACCCATGTATATTATGTATCACCACCATCAATGCATTCCACCCCTGGCAGGGTATAGGCCGCATACAAGCTCTGTCTTTGTTGTCTTCCAAGTTTCGCAGGAGTAGAGGGGCACAGACTTCACATTTGAGTCGAATCTTGTTGCGCAGTGAGATGTTGTTTGCTTTCCAGACTTTTCATAATTGATTGAATGCTGACCTTGCCATGGCGGTTTTTGCTTTTACATCCGCCTCGGTTCCACCTTTACCATCGATGACACTTCCGAGGTAGGTAAATGAGTCCACTGTCACAGCACAGCAGGGTTTGAAACTTTCCTAGCTTCACTAGTTTCGACTAGCCCGGATGTATACGAAGGCCAACTGAACATTCCTTGATAGGTTGTTGAGTTCCTTGGTCTTTTCTTGCATCTGAGCAAGTGTATGAGAGAACAGTGCAAGGTCATCTGCGAAGTCCAAGTCGTCAAGCTGCTGCAACGGGATCCAAAGTATTCCATTGCGCTTGCCTCTGGTGGCTTCTTTCATGACCCAGTCAATTGCCAGTATGAAAAGAAAAGGTGAGAGCAAGCACTCTTGTTGCACTCCTGTGTATCTGGAATGGTTCTGAGAGTTGTCCTTCGCTGAAGACTTGGCACTTCGTTCCATCTTAGGTGGCCTTCACATTTATTCACAATATTGTAATACATGTTTACACAGTCGAACCTGAGCAAGACGGAATCGCCAGGGAGCCAGAAAAAATTCCGTCTCAGACATTTTCCGTCTTAGGGCGATAACATAAAGAAAGCCGAAACTTAAGCGGCTGAAGATCGACTCGGACAGGCGCCAGTAGGTGTCTGCTTGACTCCACATAGAGGGCGCCTATTGCCGATCCCTTTAAGCTCGCGTTGCATTGATCTACTGTTGTCTAGTCTGCCTACATCTACCGTATCTAGAATCTAGTTCTAGGTCTTGAGTGATTACAAATTTACAAGAATGGACTCGTCATCCGAGAGGGGGAGGGGGAGAGGAGGAGAGGGGGAGAGAGGGGGAAAGAGAGAGAGGAAGAGAGAGAGGGGGAGAGGGAGGGGGGAGGGAGAGGGGGAGAGGGAGGGAGGGAGAGGGTGAGAGGGAGGAAGAGAAAGGGAGGGAGAGAGGGAGGAGAAAGATCATCTTCCCGTATCCGGTAGAATGTCATATAAAATTGCAATATTATGTCATAAATGTGTCAATAACAAAGCTCCCTCATATCTTAGTGATCTCATCCAGATGTATGTTCCATCTAGATCACTAAGATCAGGCGATCAGTATCTTTTAAGAGTTCCTAGAAAAGGGGGTAAAAAATTAGCTGAAAGATCGTTCGCCCACCTTGCTCCGTCAGTTTGGAACTCTCTTCCCCAACCCTTGAGACATAAAACATCTGAGTCTAAATTTTTAAAAATCTTTAAAGACACATTTAATGACATCTTTTTTTGTCTGTAGATTCAGGTTCAATACAATGTTATGTAAATGACTATGTATCCAGTTATGTATTTTGTGAATTGCATTGTGTAGATTATTTTATGCTCATTTCGTGACGACGTGTAAGCGTGCGCGTGTGATAAGCAAGTAGATGCGTGTGTGCGTGCGTGCGTGTGTGTGTGTGTGTGTGTGTGTGTGTGTGTGTGTGTGTGTGTGTGTGTTTGGCGTACATGTGTGTGCACATGTGTGCGTGTTATGTGTTCGTGAGTGTGTATGTCTGTGTGTTTGTGTGTGTGTATGTGTGTGTGTTTGTGTGTGTTTGTGTGTGTGTTTGAGTGAGTGTATTTTTGTGTTTGTGTCGCGTGCGTGAATATTGTTCGTACATGTATTTTTATGTAAAGCGCCTAGAGCTGTGTTTACACGGGAGTGGGCGCTATAGAAATTATCTTCATTATTGTTATTATTATTATTATTATCATTATTATTATTATTATTGTAAATCGACATCCATTTTGACAAGACACGACACGACACAGCCAGATAAGCAGATCTCTAGACGCACAACGAAAAACTACACAGGCCTCGTCTCTTCAAAACCACACTCTATTGACATAGTAAAGCCGAGATATGTAGATCTAGAAAAAAATTAAAATTAATTACATCACAACACAGCATAATATTTTGGGGGAAAAAAACACGAATTTTCTTAAATATTGCTTAAAATGCAATTCTGCTCGGTGACCACCCTATTTTGACGATGCTGATTTCAAAAATGTAATTAGTTTTTGTCTACCGTGAAGCACCAGCTCTGAAATGACCATTTAAAATTGTCCCCAGTCCAGTCGGGTGACATCACACAAACCGCTGAACCCGAGTTGGCGACGGCGAGACAGCGAGACGGCATTGGGAGTTCGCGACCTCGGTGCTTTCTTGTCGTACCTCCATTTTTAATAACAGTGAAAACAGTTCATAACAAAATGTGAGTTAAAGAAGAAGTCTCATTTTCACTGTTAAAAAATGGAAATACGACAAGAAAGCACTGCGGTGGTGGGTTGACAGCGAGACGCCCTTCCCAGTTTTTCGGCGTAATAAGAATGTAGTTTGGATTCCGATAAAGCCGACAACTCCGATCCGAGTTTAAAGCCGCCTGCAGTCGGCCAGCTCTATGTGGGGCAAGTTGGAAATCATAAGAGAATTTTTATACCTATCGGCGCTTACTGAGTCAGTCTCAGAAAAGGGGGGTTTTTTTTTTTTTTCCTTTTACACAGGGGATTTTAGGGGAAAATGATGTTTGGGGGGGGGGGGGGGGGGGAGGGAGGGGGTTCAAAGGCCCAGCCGGTGGGATCAAGGATCGCTTGTCCGATAGGCAAGCAGTGGTCAAAACTCCACACCTCTCAACTGCTATCCTGTCTGATAATGACATGCATCAGTCTTACTTATCCAATTACCACCAGTGATTGCCTTTCATAGGACCACTGCTTGACTTATTAAAAAACAAACGTTTGAACATCTCCTTTGCTTCCACCCTTAGCCCCACCCACCAATGCCACCCCTCACTGCCATCATTGTAACTGTAACAATGATTCAAGGAACTCTTTTCTCGGCTGGCCGTACGATCAGGGTGGCAGGCATTGGGCAATCCAATTTCACACCTCTGGCTATTCTGGCTACCAAGGAAAGTTTCCGGGGTGGCTGGCTACCAAGGAGATTAAAAGTAATGGAGGATGCTCTGTGGCCGGCACCGCACGCCTGATAGGAGTCCTCTCTCGCGGCGGAACTGTGGTCTACCTGCGCTGAGCGAATGCCCGACTTACGCACTGAAATCTAAATAAGAAAGAAGGTTTTATTCCGAGGTCCTTGAGATTAGGCAAGTCAATTAGTAAAAATGCCTTGCATCTGTGTTGTATTTAAGTGTAAGAACTGATATGATGCTGCAGTGGACCGAAGTTTTCACAGTTAAGTTGTTTTCCTTTTAAAAAATTTGAATGAAAGTGTTTTTATGCCCCCAGCAACACAATTTAGATCATTAACATTCATAAGAGGCTGGTTCCGGCGCTACCTGCCAAGGCCAACCCAGGCTGAAAGGGATACAATACCCCAGCAAAAAGACCGAGATATTCAATTTTTTAAAAAGTATTCTTATTCTTATATATATATATATATATATATATATATATATATATATATATATATATATATATATATATATATATATATATATATATATATATATGTATATATATATAATAATAATAATTATGTGTGTATGTATATACATATTATACATTATTGCTTTCCATTGTGTGTGCAAATTAGATGCTACTGTTGTCTAAATGTAGATATCTAGAGGCTCCATTAGAATAGGAAATCAATACTCAACAACAATAATGATTAATATTTTCTATGTTAAAGAAACACCAAACCATATCAGATGAGGGGAGAGGGTAGGGTGGGGTGGATAAGAGTTTGAGTCTTGTTAGATAGAACTATACTCGGTTTAATTCTATTGTTGTAGTCTTCACCTAAGATCCCACAATCAATAATTCCGGTTCAGTTAAGATTCAGCTGTTAAAAAAATAAACCAAATAAAGCAACAACAAATTTTAATACACAAGAGTCATCACTATGATAAATTATCCCCCCCCCCCCCCCCCCCCGGAGTGTAATAAGGGATTAAAAATGCTGCTCTCCATATCATACTTTACTGAACAAAAAAAACAAAACAACCTTCAAAGGTCATCCACGCTCATGCATGCGATCACACCTCCAAAGGTGCTGTTATCTCTTTTTTAAAAAATATTTGAAATCATTGTGCGCTCCGCTTTGTGAAAACCAGGAAACAAAATTATTGTAATCAATAATATTATTATTTATAGACCAAGACATACTGTTAGCAATCAGATAAAGCTGGCATCGACCCTTTGTTGTATTCGCTATTCCTTACACATAAAGTTAGTTATGTCACACGCCTAGAATCATGCAATCATAATATCTTAAATTCAGTTTTAAAGTATATTTTTATCCATTTTTAATACTTAAATATTTTAGCATCTTGAAAGATTATCTTTATAATTTGGTATGTTTGATAATTTTATGCTACTTGGACAGGTTTACTTCTTATTTTACACATCTTTTTTAATTTTTAAACTAGATTATAACATAAAACTCTGAAAGAATTGAACAGTCCGTATAACACACAGAATTTTTTTTTCTCCCTGTCATTATCCGTCAGCCCGTCAGTTGATCACAATCTCTCTCTCTCTCTCTCTCTCTCTCTCTCTCTCTCTCTCTCTCTCTCTCTCTCTCTCTTCTGTCTGTCTGTCTGTCTGTCTGTCTGTCTGTCTGTCTGTCTGTTTGTCTGTTTGTCTGTCTGTCTGTCTGTCTGTCTGTCTGTCTGTCTCTCTCTGTCTCTCTCTCTCTCTCTCACTCTCTCTTTTTCCTTCTCTCTCTTTCTCTCTTTTATTTAATTTTCCCCATTCTCCTTCGTCCCTTCCCAAGGCCCGCCCCTCCTCTTTCATCCCTGCCCCATCCCCTTTTCCTTGCGTGCATTCCCCCACCCCGCCCACCCCCACAACGCGGCACAACCCGATAAGATTCTATAAAAAGAAACGCCACAGTTCGAGATTTAGCCCACACTCGGCGGCCATATTTGATCCCCACCGCGGCGTACTGCTCGTGGCGCCGCGAAGAGAGAGAGGAGGCTCCATTAGTTCTAAACTCCTTGCTGGCTACTCAAGCACTCTCACGGGCAGTTGTGAGATTTCACACCCACACTACCCTGACCATCTGCATCGCTCAGGGCTCACATGAAGGGGTAACATAAATTGCACCCCTACTCCCCTTCCTCGCCCAGAGGCATGATCATAGCCTATAGCGTTACGTTTAGAGTTGACGGAACCAAACTTGCGAGTTTTGTTTCAAATCAGGGTTGAGCGGCTCTTGGAAAATGATGTTAGAAGACTTATTATCGTGTTCACAATTACCTGACGATGAACACACACAAACGAAATTAATGGATTTTTCTTCTGCCTTGGATTAAAGAACAAACAAAGAAAAATCAAACAAGCAACAAAAACTAAAACCAGGATCACAACTTAAATAATGGTCATTATAAGAGTCGTAATTGCTCAATCAAAAGAGTGCAGCCTTGCTCAAAATGTTAAAAATAATGATAATAATGCCTCTAGCCCTAAGATATGCATAACTATGATAATAATGATAATAATGATAATAATAATAATAATATGTAATACAATGTGTCCTCATAATATAATATTATTGTGCTGATCACAGCCGTTTCTCCAGGTTCATGTAACTATTACTCTAGCAGAACGTACCGTTAGAAGGATTAAGGTAATGAAGGAGGGATAAAGCTTCAGTCTTCTGGTGTCAGGCCGGGATTTAGCAAAAACGGCAAAAATACATTTTGGTATTCTCCAAGGAGCCGAGTTTAAAACAACCTCCTCAAAGTTTTGTGGTCAAATTCATGTTTAAAAACATCACAAAGTTTTAACCTTGCCAATTGACGCTTACCTGACAAAGACAAGTGTCCTTCCCAGCCAAGCTGGCAAGTTGTAGCCCAGCTGGAACCGGAAGTAAAGAGTTGTGGGAATTGTGGCGTCTGCCACGTTAATCATACTATCGTACACTGACAACACATCGTTTGATGTGGAAGATTGTTGGAGTTACGTTTCCACTTCCAACACAAACCCTTGCAGATAAACTTTGTTCATTTGGTGATTATTTAAGGTGAGGTTTCGTGAGGTATAGCTAGTGCAATTTGTTTCAGCAGTCTGAAGAAGTGAGGTCAGGTGTGAACAGCAGAACCGTGGAGACCGGTAGCCGATTGTACAGTTGAATTGATGTTGACAAGCCTATTTCTTGACATTGTGAAGGTGCTACTGTTTATATTTACACAGACAGCGTTGTAAGTGTGGAGGTGACGACTGCTTACAAGTCTCATCTCGTTTTAGCTGTTTGTTTTATGTAGATCTGGATTCTAGATCTAGAATATCTTACACAGTGTTGTTGAAGGCTGTGAGTTTGTTGGGGTTTTTTTTGCAGGAGGCAGGAGTGACAACTTGCCCAACACTTACTGTACTCTGTACTCTTAAGTTAGAATCACAAACGGATAGCAAGAGAACGACAACTAAACGCCATTGGCATTGGCTGATATTTATAGATCTAGATTCTAGATCTAGAATCTAGTAACAGCCATCTTGTTTGACGTCTTCCCACTTTGTCAGTCAAGGCTCAAGGTGGCAACACGACTGCACGAAGGCTGCCTGCCGACACGGATTATTTTCTATGCAACGTGCAGAATTGGTTCGGTTGTCTTTGATTGTTGTGCAGCACCCTTCTTCCGCCCAGATTGATTCTTTTGCTTTACACTAGATTCTAGATCTGTGTAAACTGAGAAGAAGAAGCAGACTAATTTTGACTAAGTGGAAGAGTAAGCCTAGATCTAGATTCTAGATCTAGATCTAGATCTAGATCTAGATCTAGATCTAGATCTAGATCTAGATCTACATCAATTTGGGTACGAAAGCAAGTTCAAAGTTCAACGACGCAGTGCAAATGATCGACCGTTTGGATTCGGATCGTTTCTTTTAAAGTTTTGTAAGCACAAGAGAAATTAGGCCTCACTTACAAGTACAAGAGATCGGAGGCAATATAAATACTTAAAACTGCAAATGGAGTAGAACTATAACTATAATATAATAAGGGGAAGGAGCTTGGAATCTGCCTCTGTGCAAAACACGCGCTACGCAAAATCATCACTATTTTTCGAATCATGATCAGATGACGCGGCAGGGATCCCCCTTGCGAGTTCAAACAAGATGGCTGATACTATACTATAACTATCGGCCAATGGTGTTTAGTTGTAATTCTCTAGCTATCCGCTTCTTAGAATCTACGTTACAACTTGCCAACTGCCATCTTACAACTGGCCTGCACTCCCTACTCTTCACTATTGCCTCTAGGCGTAGACTAGAGGTCTAGATCTAGATCTATATTTTTAGCAAAGTGACTATTCGGACTCAAAACTCCAATACTGTAGAAGGATTGTTTGTTGCTTGTCTAACACTAGATCTATAAATAATTATTGTTTTGCCCTGGTTTTATTTGAACATCATGAAAAGTGGCTAGCCGTACTTATCCCTGGAAGCGCTTCAGGCCCAAAAGGCGTGAGCTAGGCTACCCGGGAAGCTCGCAGGCCCATATTAGGGCTGACCTAGATCGACCAGGTAGCGCGCAGACCCTATAAAGGGCAGAGATGCTGACCCTTTTCAATTGAAAATTTCAGTATTCGTCTATGGAAAATGACGTAGTAAATTACAGGTCAAAGTTATAAATAGTGACCAATGACTTTGCAAGTTATTTTGACCTCGTAGAGCGTCCCTTGGCCAAGAATCCAAGATATCAATCGATAAAGTGACACGATCCAGCTGAGCGACGACACGCTATATATGTGTTATCACTTGTTTTGCTGTGCTTAATATATTATGTACTAATTAAATTACTAATACTACAGCACAGTCCTGATGTCCAAGAACAATAGGGATAGTTTTTGTTTTGAGACTTACATGATGATTTTTTAGAGGTCAGTTTAAACGTTTGTAGTAAAATTTAAGGATTTTTAGGTGATGGGCAGAGATGGGTGAGGATACCTAGGATGATATTGGGAAAAGAATTGATTTCTACAGGACAGTATAAATCTTCCGCTATGTGCAACTAGTTTTCACCAGTTAACCTAATTTTTATCAGTTCTTCCAAGCCATGGTTCATAGACCTGTGGCCTGACACTGTCAAAAGGTAATCATAAAATATGTGTCCAAGATATTTCTATTTTTGTCTTCATTTTGCCTTTCACTTTCAGATTTCAAAATGCGAGTTAAGGAAATTGACAGAACAGCCAATCTGGCTTGGTCTCCTGAAACGCAATATCCAATTTATGTGGCTACTGGAACAGCTGCACAACAGCTGGATGCAACATTCAGGTACAATGAAAACTTCACATTTTATAAGGATTAGCTATACACTTTTTAAAAAAATAACAATGAGTGCTTTAAAAAAAATTCACATTTTAGAACCTGATACAACTAATCATGTACCCCCCGGGGCAGTGACTCTGACTGTAGTGTCTTTAGGCCGTTACCAAAGGGGGGACATTTCTCGTTCAAGCACAGTGTAATTGTAAATGGGCTGATTCATGTCACGCTCATAAATGTGCCTGATCTGCAACAGGAAACTGATGCTTTTTCTTTTTTAATCCTTACTATTGTCATTTCCTCTACATCTTTTGTATGTTTGTCACTCTCTTGTGACCTGCTATTTCCGGGGTGCCTTGATTGTTGAAGCAGACCTTGTGCTGTTGAAGCTAGAGAGGTGAGCAGAGTAAGTCTGATTCCCTGTAAAGACTTCCGTGTTGACACCCACCCCTTGGCGCTCATATGACCTTATATATGCAGTTGCGAGCGCCGTAAGACCCTCTACTATAAAAAACAACAAACCCAGCTAATCATGATGCTAGTCTAATAAAATTATAAACTGAGGAACAATGTTTCACTTTGCAAAAAACTGCTTTTACATTTTGCTAAAACATTGTGTTAACGTATGTCTTTTATTTTTATCTGCTTCATACAGCACCTCATCTGCAATTGAAATTTATGGCTTGAACCTTGATGAGGCAACTCTTGACATGCCAGTTGTGGCATCTGTCCCCTCTGAAGTCAGGTGAGTGTTTTTTTCTCGTCATTTTTTTTCCTCACGAAGGCATTATTACATAATTAATTCTCAGAAAACCCTGGTCCTCAATCATATCAGGACGGCTGTCTTGACACTGAACCATGACTTCAATCATCATCAGGGATTTTTTAAAATTAGGCGACTATGGAACTGAAGTTCAGGAGGTTGTATAAATAGAATGACAGGGAGGTAGAGGTACAGAGTTAAGGCAGAAAAAAAGAGGTGGGGGGTGAGGGATAATAGTTGTGGTATTTAACTGAGCTTAAGACATGCTGTGATGATACTTTTTGTCTCGTTCGTATGATACCAGTGGGATTTGAAATTGTATCTGAGCACACACTCTACAGTTTTGTTATTTGCACCGGTGCATTGTAAATTATTTCAAATGTTTAAAGGATATTTACAGGGTTTTAGTGTTCATGACTTGTTTACTTTGATTAAGTTTTTAGTTATTCATGACACTGTCATTTGGTTGGTCTTTTGTGGTATGTGGAAATTGTGGTTTCTTACAATCTCAAGTATTGAACATAGAAACATTAAGTTGTTTTTTGTGTGTGTGTTGTTGTTTTTTTTAAAGATTCTGGTCAGATCTACAATTCCAGTTCTCACCCCCCCCCCCCCCCTAATCTTATTGGTTTGTTGTTTGTGAATCTCTAAAATCATCCCAAAATGAATAGGTTACTGTAGTTGACCGGCTAAAAATATGCAGAGATCATCGAGTTGAGCAGAACTTTAGTGTGGGTATTTTGTGTGTCCAGAGAAGTGCATGATTGAACGAAACTTGTTAAGTAAAGTATTAGAGAGTATGTATTTATTAATGGTATTTGTAATAAATGTTTAGTGATATCCGGGTACACCTGTAGTTTTTGTTTGTCGTAAAGATATTAATCTGAGGCGAGAACAGAGCTAATAACTTGTTTCTACCCTCATGATTTGTGCTTCAAAATTCCCAATGGCTGTCCTCAGATTTCACAAAGTAATGTGGGGCACCACGAAGGACACAGAAAGTGGCGTCATCATTGGCGGTGCAGAGAATGGCAATATCAACATCTACAATGCAGACAAAATGCTGGCAGGAGACCAAGATTGCCTTAATATGCAACTCTCGCGGCATACTGGAGCTGTAAAAGCTTTGGATTTGAATCCTTTTCAGGTAGACTGCTGTTTACATCTCTTGTGGTCAAGTTTCCTTTTAAAGTATCCAGAAACCTATAAAAAACATTGAATTTGCTGTGAAATTATTTGGTTTGGGAGGAGGGGGGGGTTAGGTAGTTACCATGGAGCAATGATCATACTTCAAAAAAATACTGTAATTCTAATCCCGTATAATTCAGCACGTCATAAGCAGCTGTATTATGTGAGAGAAAGATGGAGGGTGGGTGGGTGGATTGATCAGTCGACATGAACGGATGAATGGATAGATAGATATTGTGTTTCAGAAAGACAAGAGTATATCTTCAAGATGTATTTACTGATAAAGATTAATTTAGCGGAGTTGAAAGTGGATACTTGATTTGCAAAGAATGTATATTACTGACTTTTGATACCTATTGCTGACCAATAAATTATGATGATCAGTCTGTGGATTTTACATGCCATATTTTAAAGGGAAAAGTAGTTTTCATTGAACCTCAGCAACTGATTGGTATAAAGCCATCGTTGCAAGGTTTTAAGCAGGATGGAGAAGCACATACATGCTTTCTTTCTTTTCAAGTTTATAATGTTTTTTTGTTTCCTCACTAATTGGTGCAGTGAATTCTATAATTATGCTATATTTGACATTCTTCTTCTTGATATCTTTCAGCCAAATTTACTGGCCTCTGGAGCTGGTGATTCAGAGATCTATATCTGGGATCTTCAGAAAACTGAGAGCCCAATGACTCCAGGGCAGAAATCACAGGTGAGACATGACGTTTATTGTTATAAAAGATGTGATTTCGTTGATAAATGTTATTGAGATCGGTCATCCCAATTTTAATTGGTTGTGTCATTTTATTTTAGGTTCGTATCATCCTTCTAAACTGCGAAGACAGTTGATAACTGTTTGTAAGTGTAAACAGGACTGTTTGATGATGTGTGTACAATGCTATCGGGAAACGTTCTCGTTTTGTTAAAAAGTAATTGTTAAAACTTTTAAAGTTTTTGTATTTTGAAAAAAATGTATAGTACTTACAAACATGAATGTTTGTGTACCATTACTCATGACTTGCTATTCTCTGTATTGTCCCAGCCACCAGAGGAGCTGGCTTGTGTTGCATGGAACAGACAAGTACAGCACATTCTTGGATCAACATTCGCCTCCCGATGTGTTGTTTGGGATCTGCGAAAAAACGAACCCATCATCAAAGTCAGTGACAGTATGTCCAGGGTAAGTTATCTCTACCTTTTCAGAATGTGTTTAAAGGGTTAGCTTTTTCGCTGTTGTATTCAGATGACGTGAGTTTGATTCCCGAGTCAGGGGATGTTTTTTGTATCAAATATCTCAATATGTCTGTTGTGGTGCTGTATTCAAATCCCAGGGTTGACCCTTATAGGCAGGGTCGAAGAAGTCCACCTCCTACATGATGATCTGAATTGTATGGATGGGGGTGTAAAACATTCGCTGGTGCAATTGCAGAATGTGGACCTCCTGGTCTTCTCTTTTGTGACCCCCCTGTTTATAACCGATTTTGGAAGTAATATCCATGCCATAACAAATTCTGCTGAGATTGAAATTGAACCTTCGATTGATATTACTGCTGGTCGGAACAATTATAGCGTAAAGCTTCTTTTTCTTTTTTCACTATTTCAGCTTTGTTTCCGTTTTTCCTGTTTCAGTGATGGATACTTTGTAGACAGTTCAGGTGGGTTTTTAAAAGATTTTTGTTGGAGGGATTGAGTTTTATGTTTCTTTCTGAAGAGAAAATGATGTAAGATGTCAGTTTCTCCTCTCTTACTCATGAATAATATCTGGTTTACATTTATTCATACACCTGTAATTTACTAATCATCTCTTTATTCTCAATTTTTTTTCTTTCTCTAACGATAGATCAGAGCCAAACTGCTGGCCTGGCATCCCGAGGTGGCCACTCAGCTGTGTCTGTCTTCGGAGGATGACCACACGCCTGTCATCCAGCTGTGGGATCTGAGATACGCCACCTCACCACTCAAGACCTTAGAGAACCATCAGAAGTGAGGAAAAATGCCCTTTGAATTACTATAAATCCCTGTATATGTGCAGTACAAGTTTACCCTTTAGTGTCATTTGTGCCTCTTTCATTGTCTTGAAAGAGGTTCCTTGGAACTGGGTGTTTAATTGAGGTTTTCAAAACAAAAAAGAATGAAAGAAATTTCTTTTTGTGCTGTGATGATACATTTGTCTCGTTCGTATGATACCAGTGGGATTAAAAACTGTATCTGAGCTCACACTCCACGCTTTTGCTGTTCCCGAGAACACGTTTATATCATGCAATTCTAGTCTGAGGATAAGTTGTTACTGCTCATAGATTTCAGCTTCACTTTTGTCTCTGATATATTTTCATGTGCGAGTCTTAATGTTATGTGGCCACTTTTAAGCAGATTTTTAACATGTAGTTGAAGGAAATTATAGGCAAAGTTTCTTGCTTTCCTTGTGACAAGTATTTGTTCTCTGAAACTCTTTTCTTTGAGGATGGCTGGAGGGGGCCACTGGTAAGTCCTACTACTATGCTTTCTTTCTGTTGTTTCTGTGTACCATTCTTGCCCTTTTTCTGGCTTTCCCAGCTGTAAATGACATTGTGTCATATGTTTCTCTTTTCTCAAAGAAATCGTAACTGAAGTTTGGTAATAAACAGGCACAACATCTTCACTGAATTTGTCTTTCTATCCATGAAAAATTTTTAATGTTTCCATTCTCTCTCGTTCAGGGGTATCCTGTCCGTGGCTTGGTGCCTCAAGGACCCTGATCTTCTGCTTAGTTGTGGAAAAGACAGCAGGATTCTGTGCTGGAATCCCAACTCTAATGTTCCCAATGGAGAGGTTTGTAGTCTTCTTTTTACCGTTGTTGTAGAAAGTTTTAGAAATATTGTAATGGGGTGTACGTGGTTGGAGGGAGCCACTGGTAAGTCCCACATTTTTCTTTCCCATCTCTTGTTTCTGTCTGTTTTCCGTCTTACCTGTTCCCTGCTCTAAATGACTGTTATTAAATCGTGTCTCACTTTTTCCCTACACTGAATGACTTACTGAGTCGATGTATTTCTTTTTTTCTCAAACAATTACTATGTTATTGGGGGGGGTCATTTGGGAACTGTATAATCGACTCATAAGGGGAGGTATAGATTGAGAACTGATCGGGGAACTGTGTTTGGTATTAGTTTTGTGTTAGACAGAACTTGAAAACTTGCTGTGATGATACTTATGTCTCGTTCGTATGACTCCAGAGGGATTTCAATCTGTATCTGAGCTCACATTCTGTCTTTTGATTTTTTTTCTGGGGGAGCGGGGTGTGGTGTGTGGTAGGCATTTAATTATGATTAATATTCATATTTCTTCCATGTCTACTAATGTTAATAGCAGGGAAAAAGTGAGTCTTTTTGTGTCTAAATGGTCGAGAGACTCCCAATATTTTTCAAAGTCTTTTTATGTGCCAGATCTTAGATAGACATAAATCATTATGTTTTGACACTCAATTCTCACCTATGCTCTAAATGACTGTTATTAAATCGTGTCTCACCTTTTCCCTGCACTGAATGACTTACTGAGTCGATGTGGGGTTTTTTTCTCAAACGATTACTATGTGATTTTGGGGGGGGGGAGGGTGTCATTAGGGAACTGTATAATAGACTCATAAGGGAAGGTATAGATTGAGAACTGAACAGCGATAGGTTTTTGGCATTAGTTTTGTGTTTGACAGAACTTGAAAACGTGCTGTGATGATACTTATGTCTCGTTCGTATGACTCCAGAGGGATTTCAATCTGTATCTGAGCTCACTTTCTGTCTTATATGTCTACATAGTGCGATTTCTGACTGGACCTGGTCATTTTGCCAATGCGCTGTTTGCGTTTGATTTTTTTTCTGGGGAAGCAGGGTGTTGTGTGCGGTAGGCATTTAAGTATGATTAATATTCATATTTCTTCCATGTCTACTAATAATGTTGTTATTAGGGAAGAAGTAAGTCTTTTTGTGTCTAAATGGTCGAGAGAGTCCGAATATTTTTCAAAGTTGGACTGTCTTTTAAAGTGCCATATCTTAGATAGACATAAATAATCATGTTTTGACACTCAGTTCTCACCTGTGCTCTAAATGACTGTTATGAAATATTTTTCCCTGCACTGAATGACTTACTGAGTCGATGTATTTCTTTTTTCTCAAACAATTACTGTGATTTGGGGGGGTGTCATTTGGGAACTGTATAATCGACTCATAAGGGGAGGTATAGATTGAGAACTGAACAGCGATAGGTTTTTGGTATTGGTTTTGTGTTAGACAGAACTTGAAAACTTGCTGTGATGATACGTATGTCTCGTTCGTATGACTCCCGAGGGATTTCAATCTGTATCTGAGCTCACTTTCTGTCTTATATGTCTACATAGTGCAGTTTCTGACTGGACCTGGTCATTTGGCCAATGTGTTGTTTGCATTTGATTTTTTTTTTTCTGGGGGATTTGGGGGGGGCATTTAATATGATTAACATTCATATTTCTTCCATGTCTACTAATGTTGTTAGCAGGGAAGAAGTAAGTGTTTTTGTGTCTAAATGGTAGAAAAACTCCCAATATTTTTCAAAATCAGACTGTATTTTTAAGTGCCTAATCTTAAATAGACATAAATCATCATGTTTGACCCTCAGTGCTCACCTCGGATGCTCACAAAAAAATTTATATGGCCCTGGTTCCCCGCCCCCCATCAACTGTCTAATTCAATGTTGAATGTTTGTGTTGAAAGGGCCGTAAAACTTACTTTTAAACAAACCCCCCCCCCCCTCAAATTCTGACTGACCAGGTTGTGTACGAGCTGTCCACCAACAACCAGTGGTGCTTCGACATCCAGTGGTGCCCGCGCAACCCGTCCATCATCTCCAGCGCCTCGTTTGACGGACACATCACCCTCTACTCCCTCATGGGAGGGGGTCATCCCATACAGCCCAGCAACAAGGTCAGTGCTGTAGTTTGTTGACATGTAATTGGACTGTTTACTCTAAGAATATAGAATCTATTTCACATATTTTGTGCGCTGCAAATTTTGACGTCTTGTTTTTGAGCATCACAAACTTCCCTATAACTCTGCTCCTTTTTAACCTATTTATCTAAAATGAATACCAAACTGAGTAAAGATGAATGCTCCATGCAATCAAAGTACAGTTTGCTTATAAGCATAGATAGGTAAGATAGATTTGCTGGTATTTATGATTTTCAAAAATTATTAAACAGCTGAGTAATGTGCACACCAACTGAAGTGGCTTGCTATAGGTAAGCCCCATCAATGCTACTTGGATCATCCGGGTGTCAAGCTGCTTTGTCCCTGCCTGTCGGGGCCACCTCAGGGTGAAAGATGAGGTGCTTGATAAAACATTTCCTCCAAGAGGACTTGAATTCACATCTTCTTTGAGTGAAGACATGGCCTTCTTTACTTCTTTACTCGGAACTGACTCCAATGGAGCATGCTGTGATGATACATATGTCTCGTTCGTATGATGCCAAAGGGATTTCAATTTGTATCTGAGCGTCCATTGTGTGTTTTATTCTGTACTGGGTTAGACTCTGAACAATGTCGTTATGGTCTTTGCACGCTTTTGGTGGGTGTTTTTTATGTGGTATATAGTGCTCACACACACACATGCAGGCACGCATGGGAACACACACAAACACAATTTTTATGAAGCACTGTGACTTTTCATAGTGGGTTTTTGAGATGCTGCTCTTTCTACTGACATGAAGAGAGCAGGATTGAGAAGAATTTCCATTGAAACTAGAACAATCATAGAATTGTGAGCATAAATAGACCTATTTAATTTTCAAATGAGAGATTCTAGTTTCTCAGATAAAAATCCCAATGTTGAAGGGGTATTTAAAGCTATACATTATTGTCTGTTGCATTTCAGGTTGCAGAGTCATTTGGCAATGCCCCGTTTGGAGCAGCCCCAGTCCAAGTCCCACATGAGCAGGAGAAAGTTCTCCCCTTGCAGAAACCACCCAAGTGGATAAGGAAGCCTGTTGGAGCATCTTTTGCAGTAAGTTCAGAGTCATATATGGTGTCTTTTTTAAGGTAAAGGAATATGCAAGTCCTTGTTAAGTGGAGGACTAAACGTGAGTGTGTGCAAGTGGTTGTTTGGGCATGGGGAAATGTCAATGTGTGCATGATGTTGTTTGGGAAACTGTCAGTATGTTCAAGACAGTTTCTGCAAAGAAAACATGTCTGCAGCATGGGCAAGTCTTTCTTGAGGATAGGACAAAAGATCAGTGTGATGGAGCGAAAATTTATAGTGCCCTTGTTGGGTTTTTTTTCGTTGATTTATTTACCTGTTCTAACCTTTTAATGATTGTTATCTGAATGTTCAAGATCAAATCAGTTTCTACAGTGCCCTGCTGTTATTATTTCCCATCTTGTTAAAAGCAGAGCACATTTTCACGAGAAATTGCAAGATCTGCTCTATACAAAAATAGACCAGAACAGACATAATTATTCCTGAAAGTTAAATTTTTTGTTTGTTTTGTCCTTGCACATCTTAGTTTGGAGGCAAGTTGGTCACCTTTGGTGTGGAGAAACCGGCCAACCCCCAGCAGCCGACGCCGCGCAACGTGACGATCAGCCAGGTGGTGACGGAGACGGAGCTGGTGGTCAGGTCGAACCAGCTGGAGCAGGCTCTGTCGGGCGGACAGTTCCCAGAGTTCTGTGCCATGAAGGCCGCCAACTGCACCGACTCCATGCAGGAGAATATCTGGAACTTCATGAGGGTTGGTGCATTGTCTTTTCTTATCGCCTCGTCTGGCTTTGTTTGTTTTTTTCTCACCAAGGAAATTTGGAACTTTATGAAATAAAAGCTTGTGAATTATGCTCACCTTGTAGGCGTGCAACAGCAAGGAGGCTACCCTCTGCACCTCAGATTCTGTTGAAAAAGAAGATTGTATGCTCTGAAAAGACTACACTTTATTATTTACAACTCTACGCATAGCTGCTCTGATGTGAAAGATTATGAATTTCAAAGGGAAATAATTATTATCGAGAGAGATTGAACGTTATTGACCTACTGGTTCCTTTTGGTTACTCTTTTTTAGGTGCATTGATTCCCTTTATTTAGTCTTGACTAAGTAATTGAAGCCATCTGAGCAACTGTGTCAAAGTCTGAAATTTTTTACAAGTTTGAAGTGCAAATACTCTTTCATACTAGACTTATTTTCAAAATCAACGAGTCAATTCATTCTCTGTGTTTTTCCTCAGGTCAACTTTGAGAAAGAACCCAGGACTAAATTCCTTCAGCTCTTAGGATATGACCAGAACGAGTTAGCCAGGAAAGTGGTTGAGCACACAGGTACCGAAGTAGCAGCAGCCTCCAGTCGAGGAGTAGATGCTCAGGAACTGGCACAGAAAATGTCTCTCTTGAACACAGGGGTATGTTATGTACAGATTGGGCTTTTTCCTTAAGAGCTTTTTATTTTTGTAAAATATGTTTTAAAACTTATTTTAATGGTACTCAGATTTGTTTTCTAAGGATTTATGAAATTGTTTTTCTAAAAATTACTTGTATTGAAGTGAAGGCCTTATTAGTCACAGTTAGGGGGCTCTTGTTCAGTGATCAAGACACACAGGAGGGAAAAAAGAAAGTTTTAGAAAGGGCAAGGTAGGCAAGACTCAACTAGGATTTGAATTATGAATTTCTAACACTGGCTTAATTTGGTCCCAAAGACTGGGTCCCAGTGTCCTATAGGTATGTCTTAGCCTGCTGTGTATACAATTCCTGTCTGTCATAAGGCACTTTTGTAATTGGTTGTTTTAGTTTGTTTTTGTCTTGCCTGAAATTTGGTCAGGGGATATCGGGTATTACGCTATTTACTTTAGGACATTTTAAAAAAGTGATGTGCTTTGGATTGTTTTTTTTCACTGAGCTTTAACAAGTTGTTGGTGCAATCAACATAATTTCTTTCCTCCATGGTTTTTGTGTTACTTTTACTTCACATTAAATGACTGCTGTTGTGCCCATGGGCTTCCTTTTGCTTAAGCACAAACACACTGTATGCTTCTACTGTCTATCACATTTTGAAAATAAGCTGTTGTTTTTTCCCACAATTTTCAGAACATAATGAAAGCAGAGAGGCTTGCAGCCAGTGGCCAGGCATCCCCAACTGTTGGGTCTAAGGTAATTTTGTGTACACTGTAGTTAGCGGGATGATACTTTAGTCATGCTTTGCTTAACTAGCTTACATGCAGGCAGCTGTCTTAAGTGACCGTACCTTTTTTCTTTTAACACCTTGACTCATGGAATGCATCATGACTTATATCTAGAGGAAACCTGAGAAGAGCTATTAGTATAGCCTTAGACTCGCATATTCTGAAGACATTTTAACTTGGATAGTTATGAAATTAGGGGTAAAAATTACAGCTTGGAGAGAAGAGCCTAACTGGGTCCGTTCAAAGATACGGTGGACATTTGACTGGCAAGGGAACACTCCAAAAGTGATAGAAAGAGGGTTATACTTTAACTATAACCGGATGTCAAATACCAGTTTGTACTAATCAAGCTGATTTCTGTGATTGTTCAATATTTAATGATGTATTCCATTGAGCATACCATAAAAGACAATGTACTCGGGATCGGCGGTAAGTGGGAAAAGGTAGTTTGTACAAGTGATTGTCTTGAACAAGTGACTATTAGAACAAGCTGGACTGTAGTTGTACCGTTGAACTTTTCCAGACCCCCGTGGACAGTATTGATGACCTCTCGGATGGTTCTGCAGCCTTTGATGAAATTGCCGGCTCCCAGCAGAAAATGTCTGGGACGGAGACGCCTCTGGTCATACCTACTGATAATGGTGGGTATTTTTAACATTGATTGCATGTCTGTTGTGGAGGACGACACTAACACTGTTTTCATTTCAATGAGGGTACTCATTTTGTCTAGTTGCATTTCAAATTTAAAAACCCTTTGAAAGTGCAATTAAGTAATCGACATTTCCATTTGTGAAATGTTTCCAGTGTGTGAAATGTATGCTTTGTAGAATTGCCTACTGAAAGAGTTTATTCAGTTTAAAACCAGATAAATGGCTACTAGTCTTCATTTTCCATTTGGTTTGGTTTGTTATGTCTTAAATTGAACTGATAATTGTCCTGTATGGATCAATGCATAGTTTATGTAATCTGATCTGCTGCCTTATCGTCCCAGGATTATGCACATTGTATTTGTTGATTCTCATTTTATATTCAAGTTCCTCTACTAGTCAATAGAAAAACCTGTTTCGTGGGTTGATATTAACTTATTTTATATGTTTATATTCTCTGCTCATTGTTTTATCAAAAGTATATATATAAAAGTATGTTTTTGTAGTTATTATTGATGTTTTGGGTTTTACGGTTATGTTTAATGCCGTGAAGCATTTGCTTTAAGTGGCCCTTTTTTGTTTTTGTTTTCAGCTGATGGATTAATGACTCAAGCACTTCTGACTGGCAACTTTGAGGCTGCCGTGGAAATGTGCCTCAGCGAAGACAAAATGGCTGAAGCCATTCTGCTGGCTATTGCTGGAGGACCTGAGCTGCTCATTAGAACACAGAAGAAATACTTCATGAAGAATAAGTCCACCTTAGGCAGAGTGAGTGATGTTTATAATTCAACTGTTCAGTCTAGGACACCGCCATACGTCACTTTTCAAAGTTCCGTATGGGGTAGTTTAAAACTAAGCAGTCAATTTGTATTTGTAAGTTTTGCTATCAAGTGTCAGAGACTTGTATGTGGAATTTTCATGGTGGGTCTCTTTATTTAAGACCTAGGCCATTTTCACAACAGATAGCTTGACTCCAGTATGCTTTTGAGCCTATAAAGGAACATTTACTAATTTACATATATATATTATCCAGCCTTGTCTTAAAGACCATTACACAGTACCCCTCTTCACTCCCAGACGGGAATGGGTACCCAGCTAAGACTGTAAGATCTTGTCAGTGTAATTTTATCTTCATTCCACAATTACTCTAATCAATTTCGGGGGGTTTTCAGATAAAGCCACTATTTTGTATTTAAAAAAAAAAAATTTAATCACTTGGGAGCTTGTGGAATGACTCAAATGATTTGATTGGTTGAATTCTTGTAGAATGTCAGCTTGCTCTTATGCTTCCAAGGAAGCTGAGGCATATTTGAAATAATCATTTGATAAAAAGGTACTTCTTGTACATTTTGTGGCCTGCCAAGATTTGGTAACTTATGAGATAGAAAAGTTATTTTTGGTTATCTTTTGCTTATCTTGACCTTTTTGTTTTCAGCTGATTTCTTCTGTGGTCACCCACGACTGGGGCCACATTGTGGAGACGTGTGACCTGGACAACTGGAAGGAGGCTTTAGCCGTTATCTTGACCTATGCACTTCCAGAGGAATTCTCCCCTCTTTGTGGTGAGTTACCTTCTCCTCAGTAACATGGGTAGCTGATGGGTGACTTTTAATCCTTTCAATTAGGTGATTTTTGGGTATCGTATGTTTCTATTTTGTTTCAGTGTAAATTTTATCATGCTCTGTTTATATAAAAATGTGACTGCTGGCTCGCTGACTGTTCACAAAGCACTGCTAAACCAATGAGCCATCTCATTTCGCTGTTAGTCAGGAAGTTTAACGGAGGATCTTCACTTTTTCTTTCAAAACTTTCAGATGTTCTCGCGAACAGACTGGAGGCTGAGCGTAATGGGGAGCTGTCTCTGTACGCCAGTCTGTGCTACATCTGCTCGGGCAATGTTGACAAACTGGTGGAGAACTGGGTGAAGAACACGGAGAATGGAAACCAGCCTTTGGCCCTGCAGGTGAGAAGGAATGATGAAATCTAGGCAGTTTTATTGACTGTGAAGTTGCGCCTGAAATCCTGCCAGCGAGCACTCTGTTCTGCAGTTTTAATCTTAAAGGCATTTTCCTAAAGTGCGGTAATGTTAGTATCATTTATGAATGCGGCCCGTCAACGTACATAGTTTAGGCTGCTACATACAGGTATCTGGTAGGACTACTGATTTGAATCTCTTTCACTATTATGTAAGACAGCTGTCCTTTTTTAAATTATAACTATTGTTTGTGTGAGTGGGTGGTTGACAAATGCTATGATCTGGATTGCTCTTTCTTTCCCCGTCGAACATCTATCATCCTTATCTCTCTTCTCTCGTTTCCATCCTATGTTACTCTCTTGTAACACTTCTATCCTTTGGCACTTTTATGACCTTATCTGTGTTGCAAGGGCCATGTAACTCAGACTAAAACAATTGTTTCTGTGTGACCCAAATGGCCGCTGGATCGGAAAAGTAAAGTGTGCCTGTTAACCTTTTCCCATCACTAAATGATGGTTATTGTGTCTGTGCTTTTCTTTGCTTCTATTTTGTGCTGCAGCACAGTTGTCATCAGGTCTATTGTTATGTTTCAGTTGGCATTATGTTTCCATTTTCTAGCTGGATAGGTAAATATACTTTCTGTTGTTTCTTTTTCTGCCAGGATCTTGTGGAGAAGGTGATGGTCCTCCGTAAAGCTGTGGAGCTGTCAAGAGGGGCCGCTCCCAACGTGACAGGCGGGGCTTTGGCCGACAAGCTGAGTCAGTACGCCAGCCTTTTGGCCGCTCAGGGCAGCCTGGCCACCGCGTTGTCTTATCTCGGAAACTCTACAGATGTAAGTAACCCTTCGTGGTGTGTGTGTGTGTGCATGCCTTTTTGGTTTCTTTTTTTTTTTTATTGTTGTTTGGGTATTGGGGGGGTATGTGTTGTTGTTTGTTTTTTTCTTAAGTATAGTGTATAATCAAATGAGATTGTGCTGAAAGAAACCAGCATAACACGGTATGAATGAAAACAATAAGAAAGAGAGTGGTGGGTAAGCTAAACTTAGTGTGTCCTGTGTAATGGAACAGGGCTGTGTATAGCTGTTTTTTTTTTCTATTGTTCATGAGAAAAGGTACACAGTCCAAAGTAACCACTTTTCTCCTTGACAATGAGTGGTCATCTTGTACAGGTTAGATTGTGCTTTATTGATCCTCCAAAGAGACATTTTCTTTTTCTCACTGACACTGACAGGCCGTTGTTGTTTAAAATACTTAAATATGTTTGACTTTGCTCTTTTTGGTGTATGCCAGCAAATTCGGTATTACTCAGTTTTATTGTGACAGTGATGAACTGGCATAGCTTAGGTTTTCATTTTGTGTTTTTTGCCTTCTTTCTCACTGACAGATGGGCCTTGTCCTCCTACAAGACCGCCTGTGCCGGTCACTGGGTCCAAACGCCGCCCAGCAAGTGGTCAGTCCCTTCCAGCCGGTCAACGTGCTGCCCGAGGGTTCCCAACAAGCAGCACCAGCAGCTCGCAGCACAGCAGCCGCAGCCACAGGGGCGGGCCGGGGTCGTGTGGGAGGCTACCAGGCCACAGCGGGCAGAGACAAGTTCCAGACGACCACCACGTCCACCACCAACTACTACAACCAGAACCAGTACAACTACGCCCCCATGGGCACGGCCACCAACACGCAGACCTCCACCTACAACCAGATGCCTGTCACCTCCACCGCCCCCACCCCGTCGGCGCATAAAGGTCAGCATGCTTGTATTTCTGGTCCTTAGGTTTTGTGCTTCGTTGTACCTCTACTTCTGGTCGTTATGTCTGTGGTGTAGCGGTTTGACTCTTTGCTGTAGCACGTAGAAGACGTGAGTTTGTTTCACAAAGGGGGCAGATTTTTAGAAAGTGTCTCTGTCTGTCTGTTGGGATATTGTTGCCCAGATGGCCCAAGGTTTCTACTTTATGCCCTGATGCTTCTACTTCATATAACTGAGTTACATGGACTGTACTTCTTAGTTGGGAAGTGTGTGATCCTTTACATTTATGAAAGTGGCCATCTTACAAAATGTTAGAAATTTTCTGCAACTCTAAAACAGAAAAAGTAGGTGTATAAATGTGAAATGATTTTGATTTCTCCTCATGTAGTCATCTCATGTGATGTATGAGATCTCTACTGACTGTCGTCTGTGTGATATCTTTATCTGTTTCTCGTCTCTGGGAGATCTTCATCTGTCTTTCTTCTGTGTGAGATAACCATCTGGTTCTCATCTGTCTTTCCTGTGTTAGATCTTCAATTCATCTGGTTCTCATCCGTGTATGCACGCAGGTCTCTCTGGCCGGTACCCACACTACCCTTCGACCATGTCCTCTGCCTACGGCGTGGACACCTACAACCCAGGCTCAGGGTACATGCAGCCTGACTACAACCAAGGACAACAGCCTCAGCCAAACATGTACAGGTGAATATGCCAGTGTATTTTCCTTAACACTTTGCTGTCACACAGTTAGCAGTACAAAATACCCCATCTGGTCACCCAGTCAGGAGAGTGACTACAATTGACTTCTCGGGCCTGGCGCATTGCCAGGTGACCGGAACGGATAATTTTCATCGTCGCATTATTGCGCCAGGTGACCGCAGAGTGTTAACCACTTTACTGCTGATCAAAACATTTCTTATGAAAGCCAAGTAATCTCTGTGGTGATTGAAGAAAAGGGGGGGGATAAGTTGTGCCTAGCATATGCTATTCTGTTTCCAAAGCGGCGTAATCTGAACTTCATCTCGTTCGCGCGTCATAATGGGTGTATCTCGTGATTTTAAGTAGTGTTTACGGCTCAGCAGTGGAAGAGTTAACACCAAAGAGACCTACGAGGAGAATATATTGTTTTGCAAAATTCTTTGAAATAAACATATTCAACTTTGTCTGATTTAGTCTCCAATGACCAAAATTGTGTTGATAGTTGTGTAAAACTTCAACTCAAGCAACCAACCAGAGGCTGCAAACATTCAATAAACAAAAGTTGACATTATTCTCTGATGCCTATGTTTGTCTTTAATATAATATTCATGTGCATGTAATGTTCATTGATAAACAAAACAAAGTTTGAAAAATAATGTGAGAAACAAACCACTGTGTTGTTTCTGCTAACAATTTTTTTTTTCATTTCATATTGTTGCAGCCAACAAGTTATTTACTTCTTGCATTGATATGACTCACAAATTTAAATTTGTGGGTGGGTGATGGACACTGTGGTGTGGTTTGCTTCTTCTTTCCTATGAAACACCTATTTTCTTTATCTCTCCTTCCTATCTGTGTACGTTACTCTCCAGTAACACTTCTAATCTTGAGCTCTTATATGACCTAATTGTGTTGCAAGTGCCGAAAAAATGTTTAGTAAAGCAATAAAATTTCTTTCCTATCAAATAATCATCATCCTTATCACTCCTTTTCTGTATATGCTACTCTCTAGAAACATCTTTGGTGCTTGTATGACCTGTTTGTGCTGCAAACCTTTGAGGTAAAACAAACATTTTTTTCTTCCTTGTTGTTCCGCCACAGCCCGCCCAGCTACAACACGCCAGTGTCGTCGTCCGCTGGCCAGTACCCCAACATGTACAACCCAGTGAGCAGTGCAGCCCCTGTCTCCGCCCCCTACAACCCAGGCCAGGCCCCCTACACTCCCCCCACTCCGGCGTCCCAGCCCATGCCTGCCTTCGGCTCGTACCAGGACAAGCCCGCTGAGACTGCGTGGAACGACCCTCCCATCATCAAAGAGAAACCAAAGCCTGCACAGGTAGAGAGCTGGGATTTGTCTTCTCTTTAAGTGTTTGGAGGGTGGTACTGGAATGAAGCACAGTTGAATCTGCTCTAGCGGCCAAGTTTTACAGACAAGTGCTTCCAATGCGCGCCCCCTCCCCCCTGCATTTTTTCTATTTATGTGAGGCAGTGTGGTGAAATCAGGCGCTCGTCAAAACAATGAAATCAGAAAGAAAGGCATTTTCCTGGGTTTGGGTAATTTTTTTTCAAGTTTTAAAATTTAAAGGCTTGAAAAATGTTGAATTCCAATTTCCAAGGACTCAAGCTTTTGAAGTCACCAAACTTTGGTGGCCATTTTCTCGTTAACTTTACCCCTCATACCAGGCGATCCCACCACCTTCAATCGCAAATATCTCAACTACAATTCAACAAAGAGGGGTATTTTTTTCGCTAAGTGCAAGAAAAATGAACAAGCTTTAGGATTATAATAACTCTATATGCCCGAATTTTGATGAGTGCCTGAAACCACGGCGTCGTGACACATATTATAATGACACTGTCCAAGAGGACCACCTGTCTAAGATGACCACTTTTCTCCATGAAAATGTTTTGTCGTAAGGGTTCAACTGTACATCTCTAATATCACTCTGGTGCTAAGTGCTAGTTGTATGGGGACAGACAGTGGAAGTAATTTAAGTTTGAAATACAAGCAGGGAAAATGGAATGGAAAAACAACTGATGTCTGTCTTGCTTTTTTCCAGTGTTTGAATGGCCTTTGTCTTGTCAAGGCATTTAAGAAATTATTATTGAGATCAAGCAAAGTGTAGTCTGATTTTGGTTCCCGGACAGAGTTAACTCTTTATCTCTGGCAAGCCACTCCCAGCAGCTCACGGTCAAAACCGTAGTGCTGGTGAGCCGACCTCTCGGCTGCAATACTCTATGACGACTTCGACATCATATTACTTTTTGGTAATTGCCGGAAACAAATTTGTTTTACTGGGAGATCATTCATTAGATGAAGAACTATCTAAATAGGTTCACTTTTTAAAATTTAATGACCATTTAGTGATTAGATTTTTTACTAAAATAGGGCCCTGGCATAGTAGGTTTACCCCCCACGAAGATAAAGAGTTAAAGATTAGCCTATGACCACGAACATGGTGTTTTATCGGTGTAGATGAAAAGTGAGCTCAGACTGGTAACTCTCCACTATTGTGTGTTTACAGCAACCAGGAGCTGACCCACCGGGGGCTCCGTCCTACCCAGGTCTATACAACCCTGCCGAGCACCAGCCTGCTCCACAGGTGAGTGGATGAAGGATGTGTGTGGGTCGGGGTGTGTGTGGGTGGATGGGGGGATGTGGTTTGAGGGAGGAGGGAAATTAGATGCTGTAGGTTTAAGAGTTAAAGCATTGAAAGAGTCGGTGTTTGCTTATTTTTTCTCTCCATGAGACTTCATCTGTCGGGGGGGAAAACTTTGTGAGGAAATGACACTCTTGAATAGTGATGTGTCTGATTTGCTTGAGAAGAAGCCTCGTCATGACTGACCAAGCTGCAGTAGTATGCAGTGCATGTGTTTGAAATGCTTGTTGCTTTAACCCTTTCCTGTTCACATTCTTCAACAACAAATGGTCATCTATTTGTTTGACTTCCTATGCACATAGCAGCCTTGTAGTGTTCACATTTTTCATGCTTAGTGGAAGTAAAAATGAAAATTGTGATTGTTAATGCGGCTCTGATACACTTTAATTTTTAGAAATGCAAACAAGGCTACAGTTTATTGTTAGTCATTTATTTTTACCTTTGTTTAACTTGTTGTTAAGGGAATCTTTTGGAAGAAGTGATGCACTTATGTGGCCCTTTTTTCTGAGTAGAAAGCTACCTCTGAAATTTATATCAGACGGTTTGGGCCAGGTTGATTGCTAGTTTTGCGCATTAATTCTGCCAATTTTGGCAGGGTCGAACAGGAAAAGGTTAGAGGAAAAGCTGCACTTTTGATGAACTCCAGGGGCATGCACAGTTTCGTCGACAAGGACACTACGCAAAAATTCAGATTGAATGAATGAGGAAAAGATTAAGAAATGTCTGTTAAGTTTCATTTCAAAATTGCAATCATAGTAATTGCTTGCTGCTCCTTCCAAATCTTAATCAGTGAAAAGTGAGGTCAATTTGCAGGCGATGTCATGCAAAATCCACAAGATCAATCTCTGTAAGATGTTAAAAATATTTGTTGGGTCTATGAAAAAGCACCATTTGTTGTCTTTCTAAGTGCCTTTTGCTACCATAGATTCAGGCTTTCATTGCTGTCAAGTTTACAGGGGTTTTTTAAGGAGAGTTTAAAAAGGGGTTATGTGAGCATACTCATTGTGATGATTACAGAGAATTAATTACTTGCAGGATTGGTGATTTTGTCCTCTTTTCCACTACCAACATGTGTTTATGATCTTATTTTGACTGTTTTAAGTGTAAAGAATGTTCAGATCCTAGTTGTAAGAGATGGGCTGAATAAAAGGACAAAATATTGATCTATTTATTGGGAATGTTACTTAGCCGTTCCTGTTCAAGATGCATTTTGTCTAACTTTCTCTGTCATTCAAATTATTGGTATATATATATGCAAACTTTATCACCATGTATAATTGTTTTGTTCTTCTTTAACAATGTTACATATTGTTTTCAGTTTACTTAACCACTATTTTTAAGTTGTACTGTAGCCATAAGTAGATTCTTGGTATTGGCCAGTATGTTAAGTTTTTCTGATCTTGTTCCCCCATTATTTACAGGGGTGAATTGTAACATTGTAGTCACATCTCTGCTTCCAATTATTCTCACTGGCTGTATGGATGTCATCACAGCATAACCACACCGTATCATTTTCACAGAATCATTTTGTGTTCCAGTTCTGTTAAATAAGTTTTGTTTGGAGCAAACGGCTTCCACCTCTCTGCTCACTATGTTGTTTCATCCCCCCCCCTCCCCTCCATCCACCCCCTAAAAAATGAAGAAAATAATGTTTAAAAAAGTCAAGAGCTTTTCTCCTGCCCTTAAAGGAAGAGGTTTTGTTTGGGTTTTTTCTTAAAAACCTGAGCCTTTCATTTGGGTCTGATCAGTCCACTGAAAGTTTATTTAACAAAAACTAAGATAAGATATCAAGAGATATATAAAATGGAGAAGCATGAAAAACTTTACCGTCAATATATGCCTTTGAACGCGCATGTGGTCAATTCTGAGTGTCTGGAAGTGTTAAAAGACCTCTGATTGCTCTCAAATGCATGTTATGGAATATATAACAGCAGCAAATGATGATGTTGAAGTTTTGCCTGTTATGAAGGGATGGATTGTTATCTTGTTTTTTAAAGTCTGGACAAGTCTTGAATTGATTGTGCTAACATGCAGCAAGTTGCAGTTGCGGTTGGAAAATATTACCTTCTCGGGAGATTTAGTTGGAGATCAAAGGAGATGAGAAACAAGCTTCTTTAAAAGATAACATTGCTCAATAAATGGAAAAACTCTATCATGGACGCAGCACCCAGTCCATTTGTTTCATGGAAAAGCAAGTACAGTATCACAGCATGACAATAAAAAATATGTGATTTGGGTTACTAATCTTAAACTTTATTCTCTCTCTGTCTTTCCCTCCTACCGATGTCTGTAGTGTAGCCATTGTCACTTCGCGTTCGGAGCAGGAGACCCAAAGTTGGGAGAGAATTTTTATCTAGTATCTCAATCTTTCTGCAGGGATGTTGTATCCCTGTTGGCGCTGGTTGGCCTTGACAGGCAGAGAGGAATCCCTCCTCCTAAATGATTGAAATTGTGCCAATGGGGGCATGAAATTGGTTCTTTTTTATTTTAAAAACCCCAAAACTCTGTCACTCTCTCTCTCTGCAGGTTCATTAGTGCATCCACTGTCATTGTCTAATCTATGTCTATTTTCCACATGCCTCTTTCTGGGTTCCCCTCCCCAGCCTTTACCTTCCTATAACGCGGGAGGCTATGCTGGATTCCACCAAAACCCTATGCCCTCTTCACAGGCCCCTCCGCCAGCCCAGATACAGGTAATGTACACACACACACACACACACACACACACACACACACACACACACACACACACACACACACACACACACACACACTTGTTGGGCAGGCAGCACTCGACACAGCGAGGTCTCCTTAAAGTATGTGGAGCCAGGGAATTATAACGTAGAGAGAGTACTTGTATCTTTGGGTATTGTTTGAGGGTGCCACTGGTAGGTCCTGCCGTGCCCCATTTTCAAAAGTGTGGTATGATGGAGTTTAACCCTGAGCAGTCTATATATTCATGTTTATATGAAGATTTCTAATTTTCACCTTTTTTTTTTTTTTTTCACTTTGAAAAGGTTTTTTTTAAAAAATCCACTCAATTGCCAGGCAGGAATGAAATGTCTTTAATAGAGAGGGGGGAAAATACTACTGAGCCCATTTGTGTAAATTCAAGTTACAGGGTTGTTGACAGTAGGTTTCTCCTTCATCTAAACTCAGTCAAAGAAAATGGAACTTCACTGGAACACACTATTGTAATCTACAGTACTATTTTTTTTTCTGTGGCTGTTTGTACCTTGATCTTGATTTTAAAATATATTTTTTTTGTGTGTGTGTGTGTAGCTTTTTTCCCCAGTCGCGACTTAATTATATGTTGCTGTACTCAAAGCTTGAAAACACAGTGTCCTCACTTTTCCACTTCTCCCCACTTCTCACTTTCAATTTATGTTTACTTGATGGTTTTGAAATGGTGTGTCCCCCCAGTGATTCTGGTACCTCAGATTTTACTGACATAGTTAATGTTGTTGTGGATAGTGAGAACTTTTTTTTTACTTGTGCGTTCTTCCATTCTTTTTGTTGTAATGAAAAATATGTGTATTTATTTAAGTTGATGATTTACTAACAACTGAATGCAGTAACTTCATTTTCTCTACCACTAAACTGGTTAGTACAAAATGACTTTTGCCAGCTAAATTCTATGTTTGTTAGAAAATAACAGTTTGGCTGTTCTGCATGTGTTGGCTGTGCTCACATTTTGCAAAAATAAAGAAAGATTATTAACAAAGCATGGGTATGATAACACATTAGGAAACTAGTGAAGTTTAAAATACAGTAGTGAAAAAATACCAAATTGATATTGATACAAAATCAGACAGTGAAAGTGAAAGTTGTAAATTTGAAATGCAAACAGAAAGTAGTGTGAAAAAAGGCTGAAATAGGATTTGTTTGAGTACAGCTCATCCTGATACCTAACAGTTTGAGCTAATGTGCCTTGCTTACCGAAACAGTGACAGTTTCTTAATGTTTGTGTTTTCAATTGCAGTTTAAGTGTTTATTGTCACATGGATCAGTAACGAACTGCAGCTTTATTGCTCATCAGGATATATGGTATTATGAAAGATGGCAGGTCCAAATAGTAGAACAAAATATTGTCTATGGTGTAATGATCAGATGCTTTTCCATCGCACGCAGAATACCAGAATTTAATTTCTGAATGAGGTGTTTTGGGGGGAGTATGTCCATCTATCTGCTGAAGTGCTATTTTACTGACAGGCAGAGTAAAATTGGCCTGCTTCCTAAATGGCCTAACTTATGTTGATGGGAACATAAAACATTTACATCTACAAAAATAGTAGTTTTAGTCCCATGGCTTTACTTCTTCTGTTTGCCACTTCCCTGTGACTAGTAAAAATTTTGTTGTTACATTAAATACTATGAGGATGCTGCTTTATTATAGTGAAATCCCCTGCTCGTAAATTATTGCTTGTAATTTTTTAGTCTGGGAGCTGTCGGATTAATGCCGCTTTTTAAGTTTTTATTTCGTGCGCGTCCCCCTCCCGTATGCTTCTACTCATGTTGTTAATTTTTTAGTCCTTTTAGTTGACATTTACCAGATATGACACCTGTCTTTTTGCTTGTGAAGAGCTGTCTGCAGATGGCGCCCAATGCTGTGAGTTTTGTCTTGTCTTTGGGTGTCTGTGTGTGTGGGGGGGGGGGGGGGGTTGATATACGCATGCGCGCGCTCTTTCAGGCGGAGTTTTACACGAAGGAGTTAATGTTTTTTGTGTATGTACCCTATGTGTTTTGTGAGTGCATACAAATGGGTGTATGCGTTTGGTTGTATTTATATGTTTCATAGGTATCTCTTTGATGCAAGAGTGTTTGTGTTCTGTGGGTTTATACATGTGACAAGGGATGTGTATATGCTTAGGTTTGAGTTCTATTTTTTCTTTTTGTCTCTTCTTAGCTCTGGCCATAGAATCATGTTAACAGGTCATGGAGATTTTAGACCTGTGAGGAGTTTATTCATTTCTATCTCCCGTCTTGAACACAAATCCATTGTCTTTCTTTTTTTTTCTTCACTTTTCAGCAAATGAAGCGAAAATTGGAGGATGTTACCCGAAAGCTGGAACTTCTGTATGACAAGTTGAGAGAGAATATGGTGAGTCCCAGGCAAAATGTTGTCAATGTTTAAACCCTTGTATGTTTTCAACTTTGCCGTGGTTTTTGGGGGGGATTTGTTTTTTGGTGGGGGTGTTTAAAGGGTACAGGTTTTCTTTGTTTACTCAAAGGTTTGTAATTGTAACATTTAATTGTTTAGTAACAAACAGAATCTTCGTTTGATTTTTGTATAAATTTTAAAGGAAAAATCTACAGTTCAAGAAGTTTGTGATTATAAGGTTGTTTTTTTCTGGAGCTGGGTCGTCAAGAAGGAAAGAAAAGATAACTTACTTTTCCTTTCGTCTCTTTCCTGGTTGCTTCCTCCTTCACTGGCTCTCACTCATGATTGTTTCTTTCTCTCGCCCCCTTCCCCCTCCTTTTTTACGATATTTCTCATGATTGTTTTTCTTTCTCTTTGCCCCCCCCTCCACTTTATCTCTCATGATTGTTTCTCTCCCACCTCCCAGCTGTCCCAGTCGGTGCTGATGGGTCTCCACCAGATCATCCAGTCCGTCCAGCAGTACGACTACAACAGCGGCCTCAACGTCTACACCGGCATGGTGGCTCAGGGAAACTTCTCCGAGATCTCAAACTTTATGCCAGCCATCAAGGTCCTCCTGCAGTCTGCTGCTCAGATGCAAGTGTACGTTCAGTAGACAGACCCAACTCAGGCCAGCTGTTTCGCTTAGGGTTTTTCTTGTAAAGTACACTATGTTAGGTGTATATATATATATATTTAATTGATTATATCTGCTGAGATATTTTTTTTGGTCTGAATATTCATGTGAAAAAACATTTTGTCAAATGGTGTGTTTGATGAGAGTAATGGTTGTTGTGAAGCTTAATTGTCAATGTGAAATTCCTGTTGTAGCTTCAAGATACATTTCCCTTCTGAAGCAGAGTTGCACAGTATCTACTGACTAGCTCCTGGAGCGGAGTTGAGCTGTGTTTTACTCTCGGAATGCGCACCTAACACTGCCGTGGTGTGCCTTTCTATCAGATTTAGGCAGAATGTCCAGTTAGATATGAATTAATGTGAAGCTGTAAAGCAAAAGTAGAATTGCTCTTCTTTCTTTGATGAAATAGGTGTGTAACAAAGGAAAACTGGATTGTCACAACTATGATGGAAGAAATACTTAACTTGCCCGTACAGTACCACAGAAAACTGACCCATTGGAAGCAGTGGTTTTTGGGTTGTTGTTTTTTTTACATTATTCAAGTCTTTGACTATGTTTTACAAGAGATTCCAAATAACTCGTGGGCCAAAATTGGAAAAATTGGGAGAAATCGTTTGAAATGCCCAATACTAGAACTGACACCATGGTATAAGTCACTCAAGGGCATTTCATGAGATAAAATATTAGATTATTTGCTTCCAGCTATGAACTGGAAACTATTGATTTTAATTTTCAAGACAGTTTTGTTTTTGTTAATTTGATCATCAACACACCCCGTACCACATTCATTGTTGATTACAGGGTCGACCAGGGGACAAACTGAAATGGCTCATAGGCCCTAGTTTGTCTTTTGCCTTAGATGATGACTGTTTGTTGTAGCCCACACTTGTTTCCAAGGCATGATACGATTGAAACGATAAGACTGTTGTAAAACTTTTATGTGAGCAAAAGTGTGGACACGAGAAGTCTTATGGTAATTTTTGAATCAATCGTATTCCTGTGCATGAGTTAATGTCATCTAGTCTTTAATCTAAATATATTTTGTTTTGTTTTTGTGCCAACCATGTGAATAGATTAATGCAAGCCTGTGTATGATTGACTACTTTCATATATGTTTTTGGCAGCATAGCATTTATGTTTTACAGCGTAAATTTTTACAGCAGTTGGGAAGAAATACAAGTGTTAATTCTCTAGTTTTTCTTTACACTTTTCTGTCTCTCAACATGTTGATTTTTGCTCCCTCGTGGTTGATTCTTCTTTCTCTTCTTGTGATTGCCTCTTTTTTCTCATGATTGCTTCTTCTCTCTCGTCTTTTGATTGTCTTTTCTCTCGCATGATTGCTTCGTCTTTCTCGTCTCATGATTGCTTCTTCTCTTTCATTGTCTCCCTCATGATTACTTTCTCTCTCTCACATCTCCCTCTTGATTCCTGGTAATGTACACACAGATGAGAAAAGAAGTGTCAAATACTTTTTGTGCATGTGCTGGTGTCTCAGTAAAGCTTGTTTGTGGCATTATTTAATGTTGAATGATTTTGTTCTGTTACTGGAGTTTGTCTCCATAGTTCTTTATTGTAAATAGTCATGATGTAGATATGAACCATGTGGTTTAATTATTTCAGTATTCTTGGTTTGTTTTGAAAGATGTTCGTTTGTCATGAAATGATTTTAGAAAAATACTTTGATTCATTTGGTCTGTTGATATGGGTATTCTTATTGCGTTTGTGGAACGAACAAAGTCTTCACATAATTTCTTTAAAAATTGCTGACAACTTAAAATTTGATTGCGTAGAGTTTTGTGTCCATGAAGACTTCAAGGAATCAGAAAAAGTACTTTTTTTTTGCTCATCAGTAAACCTCACAGTTTAAAAAAATTCTGCAACTTTCATAAAAAGCATGACAGGAGCAAGTCGAAATGTGGCTTTTTCGCTGACAACTTCTCAATGGCTTATCAAGAGTGTTTTAGGGAAAGGGTTATTTGCTTCCCAGGGGTTTATGTTTGCAGTCAGCAGATTATGACAAGTTAAAGAAAAGACAAAGATGTGACTTGCGCAGAAGAGATGTGAAGAAATTGTAAATGCTGACCTCTACTCTTCTTACTCGTATGGTCACTTCTCTTTGTTCACCTTTGAAAAGTGTGATTATGATAATGTGCTAGCTCCTTCTTTTCTTTAAAATGAGATTATATGGTGTTGTTTATGATTTTAATTTTGGATAAGGGAATTTTTTTCGGTTGCAAGTTTGTTATCCTTTTATTTGATTCAATATGAGTAACATTTTGTAATCGCAGTGTAAAGTTATACACTCAGTCATGGTTTGCTGATACAGCATCGTTACGAAATAAAGGCCCATCTGTTGAGCTTATTGTGATACTTATCTTCTACTCAAGCACAATCATATAGTTTTGTTTTATTTTTTTCCTTTCCCTCTCCCCCTACCCCACATTGTTGTATTTTGCTTCAATGAAAAATTTAATTTGGAAAAATACATTGTACAACAAACTGAAACTTAAACAGCAATTACAGTCGGACGGTCCAAGACAATGACAAATGACTCACTCATTCTCCTGTGATTTGTTTTCAGAAGGAAACCATGGTTTCATCCTTAAATTTGCGGCAATATGTCTTCTGTTTTAGCTTTTGTACATATTATATTTTATGTTATTGATAAGTGTGACAATATTTTGTCGTATGGGTATGCTAGCTCTCAGTACTGTAAAGCGGAAGTGAGTTCTGTATACAGTAGCTGTGCCAATGAGCAGTTTGAAAAACTGTATTAAAATGTTTCGACACTGTTCTTGCCCTCATAATCTCATGAAATTTTGTTGAAGTCATGTTCAGTGGGGAAAAAAGACAAGGGGGCTTGGATTCTCTGGTCTCACCTCTGTTACAGCTTTGAGTAGCTTGAAGTGCATGACTGAACTCACTGAATGGTTTGTTTTGTTTGTTATCGATTTGTTTTGCTCTGACAGTGTGAATGTCTGTGACTTGTGATTCTACAAGTAGGGCCTACTACTTGTAGTACTGTAGGGAACAGGACTAGTCTGTGACCAGCTTGTTCTGACCCTCTCCGAGGACTCTACTGCTGCTGCTAAATAGCGTACACGTAAATGTTTCCATTATTATGTTCCTCATCACTGTGTTTGTTCTCTTTGTGCTTTCTAGTTGTACTCAATCTATGTATTTTGTTGTTTTTTTGTGTGAGAAAGAGAAAGAAACCACAGGTGTTGTCACTCCTGAGTGCTGTGCGCGTTCGTTCACGTTAAAGTGTAGCTAGTTGTGCAACAAAGGTAATCCTCTTACATGTACTTCTTGTTTGTCTTTCACCATTGAATAAAACTATACAGATCATCATTCTGTTGAAGACTTGTTTCTTTTTTGGGATGTTTGAAAGGTGCCACTGTAAATCCTACTCTTTTTTTTCACCTTCTCGTTCCTGTCTGTCTGTTTTGTTTGCTATACAGGTGTTTTTGTGTCTGTGCGTTTTTCTTTACTCCAGATTTCTTTTTGTGGGTCATTGGAGGGTGCTCTGGTGTTGTTTGCTCCTTTCCTATCAAACATTCTTTTTACCTCCTCCGTTAAAAATTTTTTTAAATGAAACCCTCTAGTAACACCTTGAATCTTTGGCACTAATTTAGTCACTAATGTATCGCGACCTCAATGCTTTCTTGTTGTATCTCCTTTTTTTATTTTACATTGAAAATGTGACTTTTTCTTAAGCTCACTCTGTGGGTGGTTGGCGGGTGCTCTGGTGTGGTTTGCTCCTTCTTTCCTATCAAACATCTATCGTCCTTATCTCCTCTTTTTCTTTTTTTATGTTTGTTACTCTCTTGTGACACCTCTAATCTTCTGGCGCTCGTATGACCTTATGGAGTTGCGAGCGCCGTAAAACCTTTACTAAAACAAAACATAAGCTCACTCTTTGTTATGACCTGTTTTCGCTGTTTAAAAAAATGGAAATACGCTGTATGTTACGACCAGCCTGTGTTGCAAGTGCTGTACATCTCTTATTCAAACAAAAACATAGAATTTTTATCTTGGGTCCCAGTTATGGAGGCAGGAGTTCTCCGACCCTCTCTCTGAAGAGGTCGTCTGTCCTAGCATTTGACCTGGAGCCTGGGAGTAGGATCTGAAGTTGAGGTCTTCACTGTTCAAGGAAACTATACATGTACTGTCCTTTCACCAGGGCGCTCTGTTAACTTGCCTGTGTTTTTATCATTTTCTTCAAAAAGCTCAAAGCCTGATCCTCGTCCTAAAGTTCCCATTCATGTCTTTCCATCTTGTACTTGTAATGTAACTGAAGGTGGTTTGAGGGCGCCTCTGACTGGAGTTCGGCGAAATAGAAGATATAAAAGATAAGGTGACTTATGGTCTCTGCTTTTGTTAAGGCTAATGAGACAAACTCTGGTAGAGAAAATAAGTTTGCCTCATTTTGAGCAGTTAACTGCTTCATTTCCACTCGTGGATTTGCGCAGCTTGCAGATTTATCTCTTGGCTTCAGCATTCTTGAAAGGTCATGAACTGCTGCCCACTGTGATTGATGCTCTCCTTGTAGGTGGGTGGTTGGAGGGCGCCACTGGTGGTAGGTCCGACTTCTTTACTTTCCCTTTGTTGTTTCTGTCTGGCTGTCTTACTTTATTCCAGCAGTAAATGAACATTATTGTGTCGATGTGCTTCTCCTTACTCAAGCAAATCTCCTAGAAGGTCTGTCAGGTGCTGGGCTCGACCATATTGACGGATTTATATTGGAAGTCCCTCAGAGACATTTTCAGGATACCTTTGTTACGCTTTTTTTAACACGCGTGTCCTACGCTTCTCCACAGTCCCGAATAGAATCAGCTTTTGGGATTCGAGATAGAAGCAGAGTCAGCCAAAGATTCTGTATTATATGCGTACTATCTTTAAGTCAGACGAGTAATCGTAGGCTTGCGAACATGTGTTTTTGCTTTCTGCTCGCTACCGGTAATTTCCTGTGAGAGGAGAGGCTTGCTGTATTGTGTCGTGACTTCACAATACAGCAAGCCTCTCCCGTGGTGTGTGGTAGGCGGGTGCTCTGGTGTGGTTTGCTCCTGAACTTTGCTATAAATAACATATATCGTCTTCATCTCTCTTTCTTCTTTTTTGTGTTTGTTACTCTCTCGTAACACCTCAAACTTCGACACTTATATGACCGTATTTTGTTGCAAACGCAAACTAAAAAATAAACCTCCGTGGGAAGGCGGAATATAGTATTTACAGCAGATTCTGTATGGGCACAAAGAAGCAGGCTAGCCTAAAGAGAAAGTAATAAGGGAGATTTATATGTGAATAATCAAGTGCGTTGTTGGAAACAGTACCACTGCTTTTGAGGTAAAGACAGGAGTTAGACAAGGATGCAACGTGTCAACAATTCTGTTCAACCTGGCCATTGACTGGGTCATGAGGAAAACAACAGAGGATACATCAAGAGGCATAAGGTGGACCCTCTTCTCCACCCTCGAGGATCTTGACTTTGTCGACGACCTTGCACTATTCTCCCATACCAGCCAGCACATGCAGGAGAAAAAAAACAGACTCCGCAAATATGGGCGCCAGGTTGGGTTAAGAATAAGCCAGAAGAAAACAGAAGTGATGACACTGAATGTAGACTCTCCAACGCTGATTAGGGTGAACAACACAGACCTATAACAGACACATTTACCTACCTAGGCAGCATAATCAAAACTGACGGCGGCACAAAGGAAGACATCATGAACAGACTCGGCAAGGCAAGATCTGTACACAGAAGCATGATCAACTTCTGGAAGTCAGGGCAGTTTAGTATACAAACCAAGTTAAAGCTGTATAACAGCTGTGTACTATCCACACTCCTATATGGAGCTGAATGCTGGAGGATGACTGATCATGACCGTGCCAAGCTATCTTCCTTTCATACAACCAGCTTACGCCAAATACTCAAAATCTTTTGCCCGACAAGATTTCCAACGCAGATCTGTTACGTAAATGTAAGCAAGAGGACATGACCACCATAATAAAAAGGAGAAGATGGAGATGGATTGGACATGTTCTGAGAAGAGAACCAAACTCTTTTGTGAAGACTGCCCTCCACTGGACACCCGAAGGACGTCGCAAAAGGGGCAGACCCAAAGTGACCTGGAGACGCACAGTAGAGTCTGAAATGAAGTCCTGGAATCATTCGTGGGGAACGCTGACCAAGATGGCTCAAAACAGACAGAGCTGGAGATCCTTTGTTGCTACCCTAAACGCCATATGTGAATAAACGCGACTAAATACCGATAGGCCTTTATCAGTGGACTCTCGTGTTCTGGAGGTTACCGTGTTCGCCTCTCGTTCAATAGGTCCCCACGTTCGAAACCTGACAGCAACATGGGTGGTTGGTGGGTGCTCTGGTGTGGATTGCTCCTTCTTTCCTATCAAACATCTATCGTCTTTATCTCCCTTCCTTCATTTCTGTGTATGTTACTCTCTTGTAATACACAATCTATTCTTCGGCACTTATATACCTTATTGTGTTGCAAGTGCCGTAAAACTCTTACTAAAACTGGCAGCAACAGAAAACATTTTTCAATAAAATTTCCCCCTTTCACCTTCTTTCATGCTCTCGAACCATACTCGGTCGTCTGCTTTCATTTCCACTTTCTCCCCCCCCCCCCCCCACCCTTTGCCCCCTCCATTGGGCTCCTGCAGCCTTTCTAAATTGTATTGCTACTTCTTGGTTCTTACCGTTGTCTTTCAGCCACACCCCTGATCACATGGATTTTCTGGCCTGGCCATGCAGGGGTTTAAGGAAATGAAAAAGCCGACAGACTGGGTGGTGAGGCCGCCTCAGTAGACAGTAGACAGCACGGTTCAATCCTGAAATGTCTCTCTCGCCACCTGATTGGAGAGGAAGATAAGGAGGCAGAGGCCACTGCTGTGGAGATGATGATGATTTTGGGAGTAGCCTACAGAAAGGAGACAGAAAAACTGGCACCCTTGCAGGAAAGAACAGAAGAACGTCCAATCAGATATGCACTGGCACAATCAGTAGAAAGACCCTCCGCGACATTTTAGAGAGAGTAACGGAACATCAAAGGGCGTGTCCGGAATGCAAGGATGTCGCTTGTTGAAACAATATACAATGAAATGAACCCTGCTCATAGGGTAGGTAAGGTATGCCAGCTAGCCTTCTCGAATAAGGGCGAACAATCTCGGAGGTCCCGTTTGCAAGTTGCGCACGTAAAAGATCCCTTGGTTGTCCAAAATCGATAAAAATAGGCTTCGGCCGCCTCCCAGGCAAAATTCAAAATTAATTCCTACCAACCTGAAAATGTAAAATGTATCCTGTGTGCTCATATATGAACTTATGCAGTTGCCAGCACCGTAAAACACTTACCAAAATAACGAATACCGATATTATATTATGATTCGCTCTCTCACATACACTCACGCACACACACACACACACACACACACACACACACACACACACACAGTGTGACACACACACACACACAGTGTGACACACACACACACACACACACACACACACACATACTTCCCATCGTCAGAAAAAAGTGTGAGCTTCAGCACCTACATCTACACGGTATTGAAGCAAGATATTAGTGCACCCGGACACCGGCATAATATGTTCAAAAGCTATGTATACTATACTATAATTAATAGGCCTATTACTATGAACTCGTTCGTGAGTGACATCTTCGAATTGCATTTGTGCCCCAGCCGCAGCGCCGCTGTGCTATTTCTTAGTCTTTCATGTGTATCATTCTATCACACACACACACACACCGCGCGACACACACACTTTATTATCACTTTTATTTTCACACGAAAGTCGAAGTCAGGCAGAAGGAAAAAAGAAAGAGAGGCTCTTGGAAAGAAAGGGTCTTCTCAGTACGCACACGAATCGTGCGTTACCGATCAATAGCAGACCCTCTGACTCGGAAAAAAAGTTGCCGACGACGAATTTCTTTCTCTTCCTATTTTTCAGTTGACAGTGATTAAACAAAAATTAGTTGACAGATCAATTAGATTTCTGTCTTCAAAAAACCGTTATAACCTAAATCTATATGGTGTGTTGTTTCCTTTTGGGATCGTCATTTTATCAAGAAAGTTTTTAATTGGCGTAACCATGTTGATTGTGAGGTGCAAGCAAGGGGTATAATAATTATTCATAATATTATGGGTAGGCCTATGAATGAAAAGTGCGCAGGTTTGCTGTCGTCTCGCTATAATTTGTGCTTACTTTCATTCCGTATTATATTACTTCACTCCTGCTTTGTTCAATATTTAGGCTAGTGGTACATGTATGCTCTTGGAGCCTGTCCTCGTCTTGGTGTATGAGGCTCAAGTCGTCAGCGAAGAGGATTTCGTTTAGTTGTTCTCAACATAATTATCTAATTATTATTATTATTTATTTTACACCCTCTTTCCTTTGAACTTTGAACCAGTTCCAAGTAGGTAAACAATAAATAAAATCTGGCACTGAAGAGCTCGCCACAAGGGCGATAATGTCTAAACTTCTCCGTGACGTGTTAGTCCGTCAATGGCGGATGTTGTCAAAACACATGTTGTCCGAACCTTAGCGATACTACGGAGGCCAGATGCCCTCTTTCGTGGAATGGCACGTCACCCTGAGATATGCTGCTTGCTGCTCACATTTTTTGTTACACTAGTAGCAAAATATGGAAGCAGGTGAGCATGAATGAAATTCCAAGCTCACATGAAAGTGAAAATTTACAACAACATTGGGTCTACTCTGGCTGTCTTAGTCTTAGATTAGTGGGCGGTGGCTTCTGTCTTGTTTTCAATTTTTGAATGTTTAGTTAACAACATCTGTTTCTTTTCCCCAATGGCTTTTGATAAGCAACATCTGGCTTTCTTCTGAATGTTTTTGATGCAGGGTTTGTAGCATTGCAGAATAAAGATCTTTCGCTTGCGGTTTGTTTTTCTGAGAATAAGACTAAGACTAAGAGTAAGATCAGTCTTGGCAAGAATTTAAGCCTATTCTTGCAGCCAGAACTTCATAATAGGATCTAGATTCTAGATTCTAGACTCTAGATCTACTTCAATAATTAAAGTCAGCTACCGTTGTTCCTCTACTGTTTCATGGAGTATGATGAACCATGGAAAAGACAGATGATGAAGTTTGAGAGTATGGGTGTGTTTATACAAGTTAGAGAGGCTAATGATTATGATTATGTTACCTTCAAATGTTATGTTAACCCATTCACCTGTGCCCACACATCATTCATTCTTTTCTTTTTATACTCTTGTAACACCTCTAATCTTCAGCACTTAGATCTAGATCTATATAACCTTATCACTTTAACTAACGAAAGAGGCAGATGATGATGATGATGAGCCGTTCTCTTGCTGTGGTATTTTCCCATCATCATGTTCTGCGTGTCTTCACAGCCTCCAAGGGAAGCCGGTCACGATGCCTCCCAAGCAGCCACAGTTCATGTTTCCCCCAACGGCCATGGTCGCAGATTCTCCGAGGGGTTCCTTAGTTCCCCTTATTCAACTGTTGAGCCGAGATGAACTTGTGGTGGTCATGTATTACGCTCCTTGGTGCTCCAAGTCCCAGCGTGCAAGAGAGGAGTTTTTGAAAGCTGCCAACTTTTTGAGGAGCAAGGTAGGGGTACTGCAGTGACTGTCTTAGAAGAACTGCTTGATTTCTTGTCAGTGTGGTCCAAGACTTGTTTTTGTGTTGAGTGAGATTTCTACTTTTGTAGAGCCTTAAGTAAATGAAATATTTTTGCTTAATTAAATTGTGTGTGCTTGTAAATTATTTTCATCTGCTGATTTTGTCATATTATATCATGAGCTAGTTGAATAGGAAGGTGGTATTATATCATGTGTACTTGTTACAACTCTCTCTCTCTCTCTCTCTCTCTCTCTCTCTCTCTCTCTCTCTCTCTCTCTCTCTCTCTCTTATTCTCTCTCTCTCTTTGTCTCCCTCTCTTTCTCTCTCTCTCTCTCTCTCTCTCTCTCTCTCTCTCTCATTCTCTCTTTCTCTGTCTCTCTCTCTCCCTCCCTCCCTCCCTCCCTCCCTCTATCTCTCTCTTCTCTCCTTTCTCTCGCTCTCTTTCACCTGCCTTGCTCCCTGTCTCTTCTCTTTCTCTGTTTTTTTCTCTTTTCTAATAACCCAGTCCTTCACTTTTTTTCTTTTTATAATCTGTGTTTTTGGTCCCACCTCTTCTCTGCATTAAATGACTGTCGTTGTGTCTACTCTGTGTGCTTCTCTTTACTCAAACACACAAAAACTTACCCAAATTGGTGGTCAGGTCTAGATCAAGGATTTTTTATATGAACTTGTTAACTTGCAGTGAATTGGCTTGATACATTTTTAACCCCCTGACAGGCATCAATATCAGGAGTGCTGTCAGTACTTATTCTGTAATTAAATACATGATGTATATATATTATACATACAACCCTTCCATTGTCAGGGCTGCTTAATAATGGCTTTGTTGTAAAAGCCCACAGACTGTTTTGGGCCAGGGTAGTGAAGTTAATGTAATGTTGATATAATGCAGTGAAGCAGTTGTTCTTGATGTCTGTATTGGAAACATTTTTATTTCTTTAGGTTTCATTTGCTGCTGTGAATTGCTGGTGGCCGGAGGGTGACTGCCGCAAAAGGTACAAGTTTCTCATGTTTCCTGTGGTTATGGTATACCACACAAAGCTGGATGGTTATAGGTACTCAGGTACGAATACATCTAATTTATGAATTCATCTCTGCTGTTTTTGTGTTTGAATGCGCGAGGGTCCTTATATGATTACACTCAGTTGACTCTTTGAGTTGAAAATGTGAAGTGTGCTGACAAAATGAGTTACCTCTCTGATTCGAGTCTATTGGAAATATATATACATCATGCTAGTAGGTGAAGTTTTTACAATTTATTAAAGTATGAAATAATAAAAGGCATGTTATGCTTAAAGAATATCGCTTCAATAGAAAATCTACAAATTTGACCCTCGTGTTGAATTTTGGCCAAAATGTATGTGTCAGCACTTCTCACACATGTTCAGCGGTAATGTAGCAGATGGATGGAGTTTTGTGAGTAATTGTATGTCTTATTTGAACTGCTGCATCACCATATGTTTTGGGGCGTGGAGTGTTTGTTCTATTTCTTGTCAGTGTTGCCTCTGTCCGTATCAGGTCCTGGGAAAATGCAGGTGGTTGGGGGAGGCCACTGGTAGGGTCTACTTCTTTTCTTTCCCTCTTTTATTTCTTGTGAATCTGTCATACTTTTTCACTTTTCCAAGTGGCCGTTATTATGTTTACACATGTGCTTATCTTTCTCAAACCTGGCTGTTGTCATACCCCTGATCATAGACTGCAATGTAACAAGCGTTTTGAATATTGTGTTACATGATTTCACGTATTATAATTATAACACATCTTGAATATCTTTTTAAAAATATTTTAATAAGTGTTTTACAACACTCGCAACTGCATATGGTCATATGAGTGCGCTGGCACACTTAACTCTTTCAGTCGTAGGAAATTTTGAATTTTGTGCGGGTGGCGGCCGAAACCTACTTTTATCGATTTTGGACCACTAAGGGATCTTTAACGTGCGCAACTTGCGCGCGCGACATCTGAGATTTTTCGCCCATGTCCAAGAATGCTAGGTGTAGATCTTTCCTACCAGAAGATCAGGGGTGTGGCTGAAAGACAGCAGTAAGAAGGAGCCAAGGAGAAGCAGTGAGAAGGATGCAGAAAGAGTCAGGAGCCTAGAGGAGGGGGTAAAGGAGGTTCTGAGGTGGGGGTGGAAAGTGATGACGAAAGCAGACGACAGGATATTGCTAGAGAGCAGGAAAGAAGATGAAAGAAGAACATTTTTTTTCTGTCGCTAACCGGATTCGAACCCGGGACCTTTGAATGAGAGGGGAACACGTTCACCTCAAGGCCACGAGAGCCCCCCCCGTTGAATATCTATTCTGTTTGTTTGTCAACAGGAGTGATGAGGTCAGAGCATCTGATCAGGTTTGTGGAGAATCTTTTGTACCCTGTGACCTTGGTGCACTCATTGCCGCAGTCAGAGGAAATGGTCGCTAAACATGAGGTGAGCTCTTTGTGGATTCATTGTTCCTTTTGCTACACATTGTCTTCGTTTCTGTTGCCAGCCATATTTCTTTCCTTTATTTTTGTGTGGGAAAAGTTACAATGGCTGTGACCATGTGAGTGTTTGTCTTTAGTTTTTGCTGGCATTCAAATTGCTCCTTGTTTCCTATCAAACATCTATCTTCCTTATCTCTCCTCCTTCTTTTTTGTGTATGTTACTCTCTTGTAGCACATCTATTCTTCGGCACTTATATGACCATATTGTGTTGCAAGTGCCGTAAAACTCTTACGAAAAGTAAGTTCAGAAGTGGTGTCTGTTAATTATTTCATTCTGTTCAGAGTAAAATGTTGTTTATATACGCTCACAATAGTTAGAGGGAATGAGTACTTTGGGATTTGGGTATTCAAGGAAGGAGTTTAAAAAAATCTTTAAGACAGTTTCTCATTTTTGTTTCTTGTATACTTCATCTGTTCCTGGGAATGTTGGAAAATGAGACTTTTCCTTATACAATGCGCCCCTTGAGTTGTGTGTTGCATGCATAAACAAATGTTGAAACCACAATTGTTGTTTTGTCTTTGTGAAAGACAATGTCGACTTTTATGTTTCTCTTCACAGAATGTCGTCCTTGGGTTTTTTAATCTGTCATCACATTCTCAAGAGAACAGCTACAGACAATTTTACTATGCTGCTATGAGAACTATTGAGAGAGGTGAGCCACTGTTTGAGTTGATTATGGATTTGTATTCAAATAAAATCTTTCCCATAACTACAAAATTGCATTCCATTCTTTAATTTTTGTTTTTCTTTTATTCTAAATTCTTGAATCTTCGAAAAATAGATACGTTATTACTAATATGAGTGAGAAAACCATGTTTATTTGTTTGCTCCTCGTTCTCCTCAGGATGCACCTCAAAATGGTGTATAGCAGAGTCTTACACTGAGCAGTCAATCTGCTTATAGTCTTATAATCTAGCTTGATATGGGTTTGGCAGGACCATGCAGGTTGTCAAATCTTCCTGTTCCATTTTGGCCTCTCCAACGCTGACTATTTCATGTATTATAAAAGCAGCCGTAAGTGAGAGCATTCACCATAAGCTATTTTGGCCAAATACAGCCAGCATGGTCATATAATTTTATTCTCAAGAATGAAAGTGTATTCCCACGCTCTATTCAGATCTGATCTCTCTTGATTCATATTTTATTTTTTTTATCTTCCAAGCTTGGTTTTGCTAATGTCCTCAGACCCCATCCAACCTGTCCGGTTTGCCGTGATGACTCAAGCTAAGTTGGCCTCCGGTGTGAACTTGTTCCGAGAGGAAGACATTATCCTGCTCCGGTTATTCAATAACTCTTTGGTGAGATTTCAAGGTCTGAGATCGTGTTTCACTTTGTTCTTGTTGTTGCTCTGCAGCCTAGTCTCATTTGTGAGTGGTTAGAGGATGCACAGAATTACTCTAGTTGCATTGATGTGCTTCACTTTATTCAAACAAACAAATAAGTCAGCAAACAAGATGAAACTGATGCCAGTGGTATAATATTTAGGTGCTTCACTCTCGCATGTAGAAGACCTGAGCTAGATTCCTGCCTAGGGAGAATTTTTGTGGAGTATGTGGACCAATCTGTTAGGATATTGTATCCGTTTCAGCCTGGGTTGACTCTGACAAGCAGGATATTGTTCAGCCTCTTATATATGATGTAAACTGTGTTGATGGGGTAGAAAGACAGCTTCATTATTGACAGAAACAAAAAAAAAGAACACAAAGATGACCCATTAAGGGAAATCCCAAAATTTTCAACTTTTTGTGTGAGTGATTGGGAATTTCGTGTGGTCTGTCTCTTCCGTTCCTGCTTCATGATGTCATTCTTCTTATCTGTTCCTGGTTAAATGTTCCTCATATCGCTCTGATTTACCTAATACTCAAAATATGGGGTGTGAGGTGGGGGTGAGGGTTGTTGTTTGGATGTTATGTGCTGCTCTTTCTATTTCTTTTCTATGTGAAGTAAATTACCATTATTATTTCAATTTCATTCTTTTTCTCAAACATACCAGTAAACCTGTTGACATGAGATGGTTACATTAGTGATTTACCCTGTGCTATGGTTCAATATCTGTCTTTGAAATCTGTGTCCAGGTTTACCCCCTGAGGAATAACGTCACCAGCTCCAACCTTGTCACCTGGGCTCTCAGGAACAAAGGACAGGTAGGCTTTAGTGATCTTATACAGTGGCTTTTTTTTTGTCTTTACTTTCAAGTGCCGGGTCGGGAAAAAATATAGTAATCATGGTTTGCTACTCATTGCTCTGCTCAGATGCTCTCAAGAAAAAGAGCCCCTATTATTTCGGCTTTTTCCTGTCACCTGTCTTCTTAAATTCTCTTAGTACTAGTAGTTGTTCGTGGTCCACCTCTGCCTCTTTTGCCATCTTATTTTTCCTTTGAGAATTTATTTGAATCTTATTTTTTTAAAAATCTATCATGTCAAAGTCATGTTTCTGATTTGACGCTTTTTTTCCCCTTTTATTTTCTCAAAACTTAAAAAAAATGACTTACGCCCTTGTGGAATGACACTGACAATATTTTCGTCTTGTAGCTGTCTGTGACACGGCTCTCTCCCGAGGGTCTCAAGAGCCGCGTGCTCGCCGATCACTTGGTGCAAGGGCCGGCACTGATTCTGTTCCATGCGGAGAACCCATTGTTTGAAGCCGAGCGTGAACTTCATGTGGTGAGAGCTGGTTAGTTTAAACAGGAAGGAGTGTGCTTCATGTGTATTCTATGAAGAAGGTAACCCTTTGCTGTCTCAAAGGGCCCCAGTTGTTTAGTCAGAAATCTGCTAGCTGCTTGCATATGCTATAAGGAAAGTTGTGGTTTCTGTGGGGTGATCAGAGGGTGCCAAAGGTAAGTTCTAAACCTTTTCTTTCCCTCTGTCGTTTCTGTCTTATCTGTTGGGCTTTTTCACGTACAAACACTTACTCAATGATATTGCGTCTGTGTGCTTTTCTCTACATAAGGTGTCGTCTCCTGAGAATTTAGGAGTTGTAAGAGTGATGATTTTGGAATTAACTGTTAATATTCGTGAGTTGATAAATAAATTGGGAAGAAACAAATTCTGAACAACAATAATAACTGATTCATAAATTGTCAAATGACAAGTTGCGGGTGAACTGACTTTAAAACGTTATAAAGAAAATAGTGAAATAACAAAACATGAGGTGTGCTGATTAGATACTGTTTGTTTTCAGCTCTTTTTTTGTATGCTTTCAGGAAACTAGTGGCAAACATAAAATGTAAAAGAAATGTGATTTATGAGTTATTAATAGATGATATTTTTTTGTAAACTAATGTAAATAAATAATTCTGTATGTACAAGTAATGATAATCTTCTGTGGAAATAATAGACAGTTTCTATTGTTTTGTTTTTCCCTCTCTGTCTTTGTATGTCTGAGGTTGGCCCCTCCTTTCCTTAATGCGCATTCAAGTTAACACTTTCTACCTTGAAGTTGAAAGCAGAAATCTATCAGTAATATGTATTTTCTGCTTTACAATGTGCAATGCAAGATTATTAAATCATCCACAGTTGTCTTGGGGTGTCATTTACTCTCTAGCCCCTTTCACCTCCCATTTGCACTTCATTCATTGTGTGGTTCCTGTGAAAATTCTACCTTTTTCTCCATTGACTTTGATTCGTGATAGATATCCTTGATCAGCAGCTGAAGACCGTTTCTTTGTGAACAAATATAAATATATAATTTGTATATACTACGACCTACCGCTAAAGGCAGTGGCCTTCCACTTCTGTGTCCCTGATGAACAGACAAGGGTTTTTTTGTGGTTTTTTTGTGAACAAATGTAAATATAGTCGTTCGTGGACAACACAAATACGGTAAACTCAAAATGATGGATAGCTGGTACAATTTGCTACTCCCTAACTGATATCTCTTTATTTTTTTCCGTTATAATCAGTTTACCTGAAGTATAAAGGTGTCGGAATGCATTCGTTAGTCCCAACCGTGTTTGAGTTATCTGTGCCCGACTGTATGTAAGTTTTTATGTTCTATCGCCGTCAGTTTTATTTGTGAAGAGATGTGAATGTATAGTTTGTATGTATTATTACCAACAGCTTTCTTTATGAACACATTTAAATATATAAGTTTGCATGTATTACCATCAACAGCTGTATTTGTCAACACATGTAAATATACAGTTTGTATGTACTATCCCCAACACCTGTGTTTGTGAACAAATTTAATTAGTTTGTATAAACTGTCATCAATAGCTATATGTGTGAACAAATGTAAAGATATAGTTTGTATGTACTCCCCCCAACAGCTGAAGACGGTTGCCCTCCACTTCCGCCAGTGCATGCTGAGGCCGCGGTGGAGCGCCATGTACTCCGCCTGGGCTCGCGTGCTGAGACAGGATGCTGTCAGATACCAACAGGTCGCGGCTACCTGTGAGAAGCTACGCCGGACCCACGCGGCGCGCGGCCAGGCAAGCAAGTGCTGCATCTCTGCCATCGCTCAGTCTTTGAAGGTGAGATGGGGCTGAGAAGTGCAGTCGAACCAGCTCTAATGCTGCCGTCCGCTGACAAAACCCGTTTTTTCATTTTTGATGCCAATTTTTTAATTTTTGCCATATTGATAGCCTGATCAGTTACACTACTTGTGTGAAAAAATAAAAGTGAAACTATGACTACTTTTTGAATAAATTAGAATTCAAATTTTGGACGAACACATAGTTTTTAATGGTTACGATTTTACAGTAAGCCAAAAAATCTGAATATCGTTATCAAAGAAACCCAACAAATTCTTTGCAAACATTCCAAGTCAATATTCTTAAGAATACAGTTTTTTTAATAACTTCCATGTTATCGTTAAAGCAAATGGTGTTTTAATGGTAACAACATGCAGCGTTTTGGTTCTCCTGTAAAATTGTTAAGAGTGCCTGTACTGCATTTTTTAAAATGACGACAGAGCTCAGCATATCTTTCCTGGCCTGGACCAGTTGCCTGTTTTAAAAAAAATGGGAAATTGAACAGTGCAATTAGCATTCATAAAATCCGACTTTTGCTGACAATTTTTGTGGCGAAATTTTATGCTTTTTATTTTGTGATTATTGTTGAGGGAGGATTTGTGTGTTTTGTTCTTTCTTTTTATTACAGTGTTGATGTTGTCTAACGTTAGTTCCTGCAGGTTGTTGGAAAGTGCCTCCGGTTCTTTTGTAGGTTTTGTTTTGACACTTTTTGCTCTCCTTTGTGAATAATTACACGGTTACCTATTTTGTTTTTCGTTCCCTCTGTCGTTTTTGCCTGTCTTTCTTTATTCTTGTTCTAAGTGACTATTTTTTTGGGGGTTAATATAATTTGTCTTTACTTACATAAACAAAACGTTTTTATTTTGAAACTGTTTTCAGCGTGGGAACAGAGTGTGCAGTGTATGTTGCCATGACGACAAGGTGTGCAGCCTGCTCCCGACATTCCAGTCCACATTTGCCAACTGCAGTCTTCCTTCTGATTGTCAGCACGTTCTCCTGTCGTACGAGTGGTCTCACAAGTGCAGTATATGTTGTCGCGCTCGCGCGGACTGGACCAGTCAAAATCCTTCAAGAGGACACCACCGTCTTGCTGATGATGGGACGAAAGCGTCCTTCGGTTTTCAAGAGTCAGGGTTTTCCCATTTTTCCTCCCATGAAGGTGATCCGTCCTCCAATCGTAGACCGACAGACAGGTATATACGGGACCATCTAGAACGGCTTCCGCGTCGTTTGTGTGAACGTCTCATTCTGGAGAAGCAGCAAAGTTTGGTCGACCACTTGACCGTTCAAAGTGGCGGATTCCAACTTGGGACTTCTGGGACTTTTTCAGGAGCCAAACAGTTCTCGGAGATTGGTTGTTCCAGCAATAGGTCATTAAGTTTCTACTCTATTGACTCTCAGAATCATTGGATGTTCTCTGATCGCCTGTCTGTAAATATATCATGGCCTTACCAGACCTCGGCAACTGTTTTGTTTGATAAACAAGTGAGTATTTGCTAAGATTTTGCATTTTGTTTTGTTTCTGATTACATTATAATTAGTTTTTAAAAAAATTGTTTCAGTGAAAATATTTTGTGTGTGTGTGTGTGTGTGTGTGTGTGTGTGTGTGTGTGTGTGTGTGTGTGTGTGTGTGTGCTTGTGCACTTGCGTGCGTGCTTTTGTATCTTTTTTTTTAATAGATAACTTTTACTGGTAGTCTTTTGAAGGAGTGAGAGTTTTTTTTAGTGTGTGTGTGTTATTTGTGTACTATCTTATTTTATTTTATTATCTATTAGAATTTTTGTATTTGTGTATGTGTAAGTGAGCTGTTAGTTACTATTTTTTTCTCTCTCAAAGAAAAGATGTTGGTTAGAAAACATAAATTAAGCTGATCAGTGACCTAGCTCTGTTTGAGTGCTAGTATTTTTCATTTATTCATTGGTGGGAACTGTCAGCCTTTCCAAAGATGGTAGCTTTTATGTTTTATAAAACTTATGTGATTCAAAACTATCTCTCTCTCTCTTATTTTTATTTTCCTCAGAATGAAGAACATTATGCTATGCAAGAAAACATAACTATTAGCAATGCCAGTGAGTATTGAGGTGGAAGCCTTTTAGCTTTGTCTTGGGGGTTTCATGAGTGGATGGTTGGGGGTGCTCTGGTGTTGTTTGCTCCTTCTTTCCTATCCAACATGTATCTTCATGATCTCTCATCCTTTTTTGTGTTTGTTACTCTCTTGTAACACCTCTAATCTTCGGCACTTATATGACTATTGTATTGCAAGTGCGGTAAAACACTAAAATGAACAAACTGAAATGTAGCAGAGGAAAATGAAGAAAAAGAAATTGAAATCTTGGCAGCTGTATATCTGGCCAAGTATTTAAGACTTTGCTGTTTGTTACATCGAATGGTTGGAGGGTGCTATTGGTAAGTCCTATTTATTTTTCCCCACTGTTGTTCTTTTCTATCAACTTACTCTCTCCATGCACTAAATGACTGAAATTGTGTTGATGTGCTTCTTTACTCAAGGTTTGCGTATTTCTGGGAAAAGAGAATAGACCAAAAAAAAGTACCTTTAAATGTGTCTAGCTGGCCAAGTAAAGTTGAGGACTTGGTTACTTAATGTAATTCATGTAAAAGTGAATAAATTGTGGGTGGCTGGCGGTTGCTCTGGTCTGGTATGCTCCTTCATTCATATCAAACATCTATTATCCTTATCTCTCGTCCTTCTTTTCTATATATATAATATCTCTGGTAGTAGTAACACCTTTAATATTTCGCCACTTATGCGACCTATTTTTGTTTGCAAGTGCTGTAGGATTCTTAATAATACTAAACAAACTAAAACAAGTGAATGAATAGCCAAGAAAGTTAAATTATATGTGTTCATTTCTAGATTTTTCCCTTTTCCTACAGTGTCTTTCATCCTCAAGTTTGAGAAAGGTCAGCTGGAGCGAGTACGTCAGAGCCACAGTTTCCCTCAGACTTATTGCTCTGCGGAGGGCGGCAGAGCCTGTATCAAGGAGCTAGACGCTCATAGCTTCACCAGGGCTGTACATCGCGAGGACATGGTAAGCCATGTGCGTTATTGATGGTCGGAGATGGATATTACATTGGTGTTGCCTTGATAATAGTTGAAATGCATTGAAACAAAGAAAAAATGTACTCCATTCCATACAATTCAGTATTGTAGTATACTGTGTTCAATCATATTGTACTGTGCAACACATCATACCATACCATAACGTACTGTACTATACCGTACCAACCATACCATACCATACCATACCGTATCATACCATACCATACCATACCATACCATACCATACCATACCATACCATACTAAAATATCATAACGTACTGTACTATACCGTACCATACCATACCATACCATACCAACCTTACCGTACTTTACCATACCATACCATACCATACCATACCATACCATACCATACCATACCATACCATACCGTACTGTACTATACTATACTGTACCAACCATACCATACCATACCGTACTGTACTATACTGTACCAACCATACCATACCATACCATACCAGAGAAAGAGAAGGAAGAGAGAGGAAGAGAGACAGAAAAAATATTGCTATTTGAACCGTATGGTGCTTGTGTTCCTTGTATCATTGTAAAGCGCATTAACCCTTTTTTAGGGGTGGAAATGCACCGTATAAGTACAGTTTATAATAATGATCATTGTTACTGTAATTATTACTACTATTATTATTATTATTGTTATCATTTTTATTATTATTGTTAATAGTAATATTTTTATTAATATTATTAATATCATCAAACATGTTTCTCATATTTCTCTCCTTGTACCAGGACGTGGTGGTGTTGGTGTACGCCCACTGGTGCGGCTTCTGCCAGACGTTCAGCCACACCTTCCTGTCCCTGGCCCAGTACTTTGCCCCGTCTCGGCACATTGAGTTTGCTCGGTGAGGATTCACCTGGCTTCTGTGTGTGTGTGTGTGTGTGTGTGTGTGTGTGTGTGTGTGTGTGTGTGTGTGTGTGTGTTTTTTGGGTGTGTGTGTGGGTGTGCGTGAGTGTGCGCGTTTACTGGAAGTGGAGATTTTCTGGATATATTACATGAAAATCTGGCTTCCTAGTATTGTTGGGACTTTGCCCGAAGGGTGTGTGATTGTTTTTAATGTTTGTCATAATGCATTCCTGTTTATATGTTTATTTATATTTTAATCCTTTTATGCATGTCAGACTGCACTTTACATCAGATGGTCTTGATACAAGATGTATTAGTCTAACTTGTAAATTTTTAAGTCTCCACACTCACGTTTTCGCAGGGGTCAAAAAAACTGAGGATTTTTGTTTGTACCCTCTTCTCTATGTACTGCACAGTTTGTAGGTGTTGTGGGTGATTTTTGGGCTGATTGTGAGGGATTTGCTCTTTCTCCCCTCCATTTTGTCTCAAAAAACAAAATCGTAGGGAATCAAAGCGAGTGGTTGGAGGGAAAAACTGGTACTTCCCATCCTCCCCCCCCTGTTGTTTCTGTGTATCTGTGAGTTTTTCTTACTCTTTCCCTGCAATAAGTGACATATATTATTGTGTCGTTGTGCACCTTTTTACTCAAATATACAAACAAACAAACAGTCTTTGTGGTTTTGCATTGTACACGATCAGTTTGATTGTAATGAATTGTACTGTGCGATCAACATGTAGGAGAAATTACTGGCTTAAGGCGACCGTTCTGCTGGTAAAAAACGTATACTCCAACCTGCTCTAATGGCCACCTGTTGAAGACCATCACCTGTATCAATGACCACTTCCCTCTTCCTCTTTTGCATTTCGTTCTGTAGTATTATGACCCTGTCGGAGATGTCCACCTGTCAAAGACAACCAATTTTCTCCTCAACAGTGAGTGGCTGTCTTGGACAATTTCAACCATACTTTAAGTGTAAAAAATATGACAGTTTGATATGAGCCTGGAAGAGCCGACTTTTACAACAGCCCTGTTACGTTTACAATGTTACATTTTTTAAGTTGTTTCTCTCTCTGCCTGTGTCCTCAGTGTCAATGGTGGCCTCAATGACCTGCCGTGGCAGTACAACTTTGACTCTTACCCAAGTGTGATATTCTTCCCAGCCCGCAGGTAAGGATTCTTCAGCTCATGTTTTGCTGTGTTTATCGTACATTTACTCACCTATAACATGACCTCGCATATAATATTGCAGGGTACAGTTTGACTCCAAAACTGGCCCAATTTTGTGGTCTCACAAATATTCATCATCATTGCCTTTCTCACCCTGCACCAGGGTATAGGCCATGGACAAACACCCCCCACTTTTCTCTATCCTGGGCTAGCCTCTTGATGTTATTCCATGTCTTTCCACTTTTCTGTACATCAATTTCTGTAAAAATATTGCAGGGTGAATATCTGAAACGTTAGAAAGACCTCAACAAGAGGGCAGAGTGGTTTAGGAAGTTGGTGTCTTATGTGCACGGTTTTGATGCTGGTAATTAGAAAACATTCAGTGGAAACAATTTTCATCAAAATTGGGTAAAGTCAAATATCCCTGCGGTAAAACTGTCCTTGAGGATTGCAGCTGAGAGTACATTCTGCTTTGGATTGCTGAAGTATGCTGCAAAAAATTCCTGTGTTTGCTGCATTCGTAAATGATGGGTCGGCAGGAAAATTCTGAGTCATTAACTTATGGAGTTGTTTTGTATACTCTTACATGGGTATCTAGATTAGCCTTCAATTCTGATATTATGTTAGATTTCATTGAGTTGAGACCAGTTCTATAGTAAACAATCTACATTGAACTAGTGTTCTGACCCCCTGAGCCTACATGACCTTCCTGTGCACCTGTACCTCCAAGAGAAAAACCCACTAGATTTACAATGCAGCGTATTGAGGCATGCGTTGGGTGTTTGGAAGGGTGAAGGTCGCACACACTGGGACATGCCCTCGCGTCTGTAGGGTTAAGGCTGTTGTGAATGGCACCGAACCTTTTTACTTGTAAAATCCCCACTGAACGTGAACCTTTAGTGGCTCTTCAACCTGTCCTTGTGTTATTTCCGGAGAGTGTGTGTGTTCAGATACAAACTCCAGCTTTGTTGTAATTTTTAGAGAGCCTCTCGAGTTGAGAATTGCTGGGAAAAAGAGGTGAGTTGTATGCACCATATTTCTGCACTGATGAACAGCCGCCAGTTTCTCCTTGATGTCTCAGGATCATCGTAAAGTTTATCATGAGAACTCATACCTGTGCTTGTCATATATATTTTTAATCTGATATAATAATATATATAAAACGCATGGATGAAAGTTTTTCCCTGAAATATAGCCCTACAATTTTATAAAATAATTGCTTATGTTCTGTTTCTTCAGTAAAAAGAACCACTGGATTGTGACAATCACATATCGACTACTCAGTTTAAGACTCCGTCTTATCTCTTCCTTAGAATTACAAAGTTCTATCTGCTCAGTACCTAGTTTTGAGACCTTTGATAAAACAAAATTTTGAGTTTCACATCATGTCAAGCCTTTTCGAATGCAATTCTTTAAATATCCTGATACTGGTTCCAAATAATCTTGCGATTTTTATAGAGCAGATAGAAAATTTGATTTCTGACCTCATGGTCCTCGTAACTCAATACAGACGAAATTGTCAGATAAAACTTTGTAATTCTAACGGCATATGGCAAAGTCGATATCAAGATTTAGAGCTTAAAAAAAATGTTTTTATAATGTTTTAAAGTCCTAATTTTAATATTAGAATAAAGACAGTGATGAATTTCTCAGGATGAGTAATAATCTGTCAGAAGTCTCAAATACATTCGCTCTGAGACAATCAATTACCTACGACGTCTTAAGATGTCTGGGTTTTACTTAAACGGAGATGGGAGTTTACAAGATGTTTTCTAGAATCTGATTTTGTTTTCTTTTGAAAAACAAAGTGTCATCGTATTCTTCTGGTAACAATTTATTCTGAAGTACTTAAAACTGTTCCTTTCTGATATGCGAGTTTAAGATTTAACAACTCGCAAAAAAAAAAAAGCAAAGAGCGGTGTCAACTGAGTAGAGTTATGGTATTTAATGAAATATGTCATAGAAATCAGCTGTGTGATGACAATGTCTTAGCTTCTCTCTGCTTGGCAACCCCGAATACTGCTTTCATTATACGTACATGAAATGAGGGAATGTAGGAATCATTGAATTTTGACATTTCTCTGTCACTCAAAAGATGAAAATATGGCTGTTTATATTTTGTGTTTGTATTTCTTTTTTCTTTGTGTGTTTTTGTTTGTTTGTGTTTTTGTTTGTTTGTGTTTTTGTGTGGAAATTAACATTTTTATATGTATTTGTGAGAGTTTACTTTATTATGTGTGTGTACATGTGAAATGAAATCTTTTGTGTGTATATATGTGTGAGATTTTCTTTACTTAATCTGGGTTCGTAGATCTTCCATTTGTGTTTCATATTTTGTTTAACGTATGTTTATAAGTCTTTATGTGTACTCATTATTTTTCTATTACTTTTCCTCTCTGCTTTTGATGTTTCTGTTTTCTCATTGCTTCTGCTGTTTTTGAGGGCTTTCCCTGCCTTTTGCGGCTGCTGCTTTTGAAGGCCTTTTCTGTCTTTGTGTCGGCTGCCTTGTTCGAGATGTGCTGTGGGATGCTCCCTCATGACCGCTGCTTGGGTCTTCTTTCTTTCGCTGTTCGTATTTCTTTGTGTGGCAGATGCCTGTCTGTCTTTCTGTCTCTCTGCCTCTCTATCTCTCTCTCTATCTATCTATCTATCTACTCTCTCTTTCTCTCCCTCCCTCTCTCTCTCTATCTCTCCCTTTTCTCTCTCTCTTTTCCCCCTTCTCTCTCCCTCCTGTTTCTCTCCCTCCCGTTTCTCTCCCACGCCCTCTCCCTCCTCTCTCCCTCCTCTCTCCCTCTCCCCCTTCCCCCTACCTCCCTCTGTCCCCTTCTGTCTCTCCCCTTTCTCTCTCTCTCTCTCTCTCTCTCTCTCTCTCTCTCTCTCTCTCTCTCCCTCTCTCTCTCCCTCTCTCTCTCTCCCCCTCTCTCTCTCTCTCTCTCTCCCCCCTTCTCGTCCACCCTCACATCCTTCTCCTCCTCCCCTTCTCTGTCTTTCTCACTTACTCACAAATAGACCCACAGCTCACCAGCTGGAAGTGCAACCCCTTTATTGGCTGAAAAACATCTGTGCACGTCTTGTTCAGGTGCACAATAAGTGTGATGAGCTTCTGTGGTGACCCGCTTAGAAGCTTCTTCACCATTGCATGGGAAAAACTTTGAGTTCAATTCCCATGTGGGGAGGATTTTACCGAGCTTTTGCATTCAGTTTTCTGAGATATTGTGTCCCTCTTTGCCTGGTGGGTGGTTGGCAGGTGCTCTGGTGTGATTGGCTTCTTCTTTCCTATCAAACATCTATCGCCCTTATCTCCCCTTGTTCTTTTTTATGTTTGTTACTCTCTTGTAACACCTCTAATCTTCTGGCACTCATATGACCGTATGCAGTTGCGAACGCCGTAAAACCTTAAACTAAAAACTCTTCGCCTGGGTTGGCCTTGATAGGCAGTGTCGTAGCAGCCCTCCTCCTAAGTGACCTAAATTGTGGCGATAGGGGCGTGAAACTTCTACTGTTACAATTGCATAAGTGTGGTACTTCTGTCTTTGTTTTTTGTCTCAGCTTTTGATTTGTGTTGCTTTTTTTTTTACTTTCCTCCTTCCTCTTTACTGGCATCTGTTTAGTAAGGGTTAGGTTCTCTGCCATTCTTTGCCGAAAGCGTGAGGTTGATTCCCGCAAGGTTAATAATTTAAAAAAATTGAGACTCTTGGTATCTGTGCTTGGGTTGGCCAAAGCTTTGAAAATTTTCCTAACGATCAAGTTCAAGACCAACTCTTTTAGAATTTGATGCGGGGGTCATCCACATCGCTGGGTAGTTGGCGGGTGCTCTGGTGTGGTTTGATTCTTCTTTCCAATCAAACATCTATTGTCCTTATCTACCCTCCCTTGTTTTATTTGTGCGTTACTCTCTTGTAACACCTCTAGTCTGCGGTACTTGAATGACCTAATTGTGGTGCAAGTACTGAAAAACACTTACTAAAACAAAAAACCCCCAAAACCTCACCTCAAGCAACCAAGTTCAAGAACAACTCATTTAGGATTTGTTGTGGGGTCATCCACACCTAGGGTAGTGCTACTGACTGAAGATATCTTTAGGCCATTCCCAAAGGGGGGATATTAACATGTTCTTATGCACAGTAGAATTGTAAATAGGCTGACTTATCAATGTCATGCTCATACTTTACTGGAATAACGTAGGGGGAACTGCTGCTTTTTCTTTCCTCATCCTTACCATTGTCATTTTTCCTCTACTTCTTTTGTATGTTTGGCACTATTGTGGGAACTGCTGTTTTCGGGGTGCCTTGATAGTCTAAGCAGACTTTGTGCTGTTGAGGCTAGAGAGGTGAGCAGAGCAGGCCTGATTCCCCGTTTGGACTTCTCTGTTGACATCCACACCTTGGTGCTCATATGACCGTCTGCAGTTGCGAGCCCGTAAATCCTTACTAAAACTGAAAACATTTACACCTCAGCCTTAGCCCAGCTTGGTACCAACTGAGCTATCTTTTCTCATAGGGATGAAATAATATTCAGAATTCTGAGAAATCGAGTGCTTTTCTCTGGATGTGTTGCTGCAGGCCTTGCTGTGGTGCTTAGTGGTTTTCTTCCTTCTCGCTCTATTGTGATTGTTTTGTTCGTTGGTTTGTTTTTTCTTCTGGATATTGCTTATTTACCTGTCTTGTCTTTTCTTCTCTGTGTGCTTTGTTTGATGTTTTTGTGTGCTTACTTGTATTATTATATTTGTCTGCGAGATTTGGTTGTGTGCGTGTTTTTGTGCATGTTTGCGTTTGTGTGTGTGTGTGTGTGCGTGTGTGTGTGCGTGTGTGTGTGTGCGTGCGTGTGTGCGTGCGTGTGTGCGTGGGTACATGTGTGCATTTGTATTGTGTACTTTACTTTTATTCTTATGTGGGCGGTTGGTGGGTGCTCTGGTGTGGCTTGCTCCTTCTTTCCTATCAAACATCTATCGTCCTGATCTCCCCTTCTTCTTTTTTATGTTTGTTACTCTCTTATAACATCTCTAATCTTCTGGCGTTCAAATGACCTTATGCAGTTGCGAGCGCAGTAAAACCTCTACTAAAACAAACAACATTTATTCTTATTTTTCTCATTTTATATAATTGTTTTGATTTTTAACAGTTCCATTTGCTTGTGGGTTTATAGTGTATGTCCTTGTTGCCCTGAAGATTTAGTGTGGGTGGTTGGAGGGCTCATCTGGCATATATATGCCTTTTTTAAAACTGAGTGCTATTTCTGTCTGTCTGTTGTTGTTTTTTTTTGTTTGTTTTTTCATGCTTTGAAGACCTGTCAATGTGCTTTTCTTAAGCTTACACCCCACATGAATGAATGGATTTATACTAAGGCCCTTATGTATGTGTTACAGAGTCAGCAATATTATGGTAGTATGGCTGAAAAAACAAAACAGTATAGTGTGGTTGATAAAGCAATGATTTACATGGTAGTGTATCTGAAAAATGCAATATATGGTAGTATAGTTGAAAAACCCCCCAGTGAGGTAGTGTAGCTGGTAATGCAATATAAAGTAGTGTTTCAGAAAAAGCAATATGGTAGCTAAAAACTGATATGGTAGTATAGCTGAAAGAAGCAATATTGTTGTAGTGTAGCTAAAAAAAAAAGCAATTGAATGGTAGTATAGCTGGTAAAGCAATATATGGTAGCGTATCTGAAAAATCAATATGGTAGTATAGTTGAAAAAGCAGTATGGTAATGTTGCTGGTAATGCAATATGTACAAATGTGTCAGAAAAAGCAATATGGGAGTGAAGTTGAAGACGGAATAAGATGGTACTGAAAAATGTATGTATATGACAGAGCAGCTGAGGCTTCTGATCTTATTATTTTAGAAAGGCTTTGCTGCCAACTATGAACTTTCCTCCATGCGATTTATTGTTTGTTTTTTGCAAAAATGTCGTGTGTTAAATGTTTTTCCATTAATCAAATTCTCCAATATTTGGTGATTATCTTCCAATATTTACGCCGAGTTATTGCTATTTTAATGTTGTAGTTTAAAGTACCTGAAATTACCATGTAAAGTGAACTTTGTAGAGGGTAGTGAAAAATATTTCTGCAATAACATATTGTACATTTGTACGTGTTATTTTACACTTGTCTACTATTCCAATGCTTGCTGTAATAAGCTACAATAAGATTAAGTTTCTAATCGGAAATTGTAAACTGTATCGTACGTCACATGTCATATATGACAAATGTAGACCACATACTATTGCGCTTTTGGAAGTATAATGTATGAATGTTACTAATACTCAGTTTTACATATATTCTGGACTGCCATTCAGTGGGAATTGTTGTCATATTATTCAGCCATATTTAGCTCTCAGTGTGTGTCAGTCGATATGTGGGCTGGTGAGGGAGAAAGTTTTGGATAAATGCAAGTCCTGTCTGAGAGTTCAGATAGCTCAAAATTACTTGCTTTGTTGTGAGATAGGGACAAATTATATATGTATTAAAGTATGTATAAAATCCATCCATATATCTATTTGTGTATTTTTACATTCGTATATATACAAATGCTTGTTCAGATTTCGTGAAACTTTTCCTAGAAAAGTCCTCTGGAATGTGTTTTAGTTAATGAGTGTATATATTGATCTGCAACAGACTTGAAAGGAAAAGTTAGCTATTTGGATTAATATACGGACTATGAAAGTTACAAGTAAAAGTTATAGTGCTTAGACTTTTTCTGACCCAGAGTACATGTGTTTTGTCTGGGTTTTTCCATAAAGCTTTGCATTTGGTGGATGGTTGATGAATGCTCTTGTGTGGTTTGCCCCTCCTTTCCAACAAAACATCTATCGTCCTTACCTCCCTTCCTTCTTTTTTTCTCAGTGTGTTACTGTCTAGCAATATCTTTAATTAATCTTCAGCATTTCTGTGACCTATTTGTGTTGCAAGCTCCGTAAAACTCTAGCTAAAAGTAAAAAGTACTGCATTAGCTTCCCATACCTTGCTTAAGGTCACATTGTCTCATTATTTTGCCATGTTCTGTCTTGCATTACTTGTCCTCTTCTCTTTTTTTCCTCTTTTCTCAAATTTTCCCATCATCACTTGCCTCCTTTCATCTATTCGTATGTCATATAATTTACTCTTGTTTTAAGTGTAGTTTTAGGATGCGGCTTGTATGTCTCACTTATTTTCTTCCCCTCTAGCTAGTGTTTCTGTCTGTCTGCTTTACTTGGGAATGGTTGGAGGGTTACTCTGGCAGGTCCTATCTCTTTTCTCTCTGGATGTTGTTTCTGAGTGTCTTTTATTTTCCGCTCCCTAAATGACTACGGTAATTCTGTCGAAATGGGTCTCTTTACTTCTTAAACAAACTAAACCGAATTATGCTTTAACTCCAAGTCTTTTGTTTTGTGGTTCCAGGAAAGCTGACAGTGTGATATTCCCGGAAGACAAGGACAAAAGCCTGGTCAACCTGATACGCTTCGTCCTGCGACACGCAACATACGACACGCGCCTGCACCTGGCGGCTGACGTCTGCTCCAAGACTTGCATCCAGAAAAATATCGTCCGTTCCCAGGCTCGTATTCAGCAGCTGCGCCGTAAGTCGGCGAGGTTACAGCTGCAGCTTCACCATGTGTCGGAGGCTACAGCTGGGAGCCGGGACACAGCTAGTGTTAGTGAGGGTGAGGTTGATTTGAGGTATTATGCAAATCTCAGTGCAGACTTTCTGAAAAGGAAGCTGAAAGACATTCAGACCAATATAGAGGGTTTGATCCGGCTCTTGTCATATTTGCAAAGCAACGAAGGGAGAGAACTTTCCAAGAGACAGCTGGCGTCGTTGTTCCCCGTACAGAGTGTGAAGTCTGGTTCTTGAGGTAGTGTATGGATGGTTGGCGGGTGCTCTGGTGTGGTTTGCTCCTTCTTTCCTGTCAAACATCTATCGTCCTGATCTCCCCTCCTTCTTTTTTGTGTATGTTACTCTCTTGTAACACATTATCTATTCTTCGGCACTTGTATGACCTTATTGTGTTTCAAGTGCCGTAAAACTCTTATTAAAATTTGCTGAGGTAGTGTGGACAACTGGTGCTCAATGTTTGTTGGTGTATGTGTGGGTGTATGTGTGGGGGTGTGTGATCGTGTGTGTGTGTGTGAGTGGGAGAGTGGGGGGATGCGGAGATAGTATGTGTGTGCATTTTTTTTGTGGGTGTGTATATAAATGCGTGTGTGCATGTGTTTTTATCCAAGAACTACATTTTGTTTTTGGTGGTGGTGATGGCAACAATGTGTTTCTTTTGAATATTAAGTTTTCTGTGTAGATACGGATATCTGTATGAAATCAACATGTTTTCTGAAGGTGGCCTAGTCTGTTTCTGCAGAGTGATAATTTGTCTGCAGGTGTGAGTAGTTACATTGTATTCGAGCTCGTGGTTGGAGGGCATCAATGGTAGATCATACTCTTTTATCATCATCCCTGTTTTGTTTTAGTCTGACCATTGTTGTGTGGATGTGCAGCTGTTTACCCCAACAAAGCATTTTTAATCTAATGGATTAAGTGAAGTTTTGTTTTTGATGGTGACTGGTTGGCGGGTGATCTGGTGTGGTCTGCTCCTTTTTTTCCCTTTCAAATATCTATCGTCCTTATTGCTCCTCCTTTTTTTGTGTCTGTTACTCTTTTGTAACACGTCTAATCTTTGGCCCTTATATGGCCTAATTGTGTTATAAAACTCTTACAAAAATTAGAATGTTTTATGATGTATTGGTTTAGTGCATTATCTGCCTTTTCAGAGAGTTGGTTGATTGGCATTCTCTGTGCTGACTTACACATGTGAGAAATTGTCCAAGAACTTGGGATTTGATCATGGTTCATGTTGCTTACCTGTGTCGCCAATAGCCTAGCGGTGTTAGTTTAGACATTAATCAGATTGAGATGATGAAACAACTCTTGTGGGTGGTTGGAAGATGTCTGTGGTGGTCCTAGTCCTACTTCTCCATTGTTCTACTTTTGTTTTTGTTTGTTTGTCTGCTTTGTTCTTTCCCTTTGTTCAATGGCGATTGTCTTGTTGATTGTCAGTGTGCGTTCCCTTTGCTCAATACAATGTCTTTAAAAAAATCAACATCCTGAGCTATCAAGCAAAAAGAAATTTCTCATTTGTTTATTTGTTTAAAATGGATGCCAACACTTTGTTGTGTATTTTCCTGAAAAGCAGTAGACTAAAAGTGCTTGACAAATTTTTCTTTGTCTTTGTAAAATTTTGATTAGCTAGTTTCTTCCAGAGTTTCTTCCAGAGTTTATGACTTGTGATTTTAAAAATTTGGTTTAGTAATTTGAGCATTTTCTTCCCTCTATGAATGCATATTTTCGCCAAAAGGAGCAATGGCAAAACTAGGGAATTTGAAAAGCTAGGTGACTTGAAAATACAAAAATAAAATAACTTTTTTAAAGCATCTGCGCAGAAAAACCAGGGGTGAATCATGATTGCCGATGCCTGTTTCAGATCTGGCACTTGAAGAAAGAAGTGAAAAATGCATCCTCCAAAGCCTAATGCAATGTAGTTTGCTAGTGAAGCAGACTGGTAGTTATTTTGTTCATGTAAAAAAGTCTTTTTCTTTACAATTTTCTCTGTGCTGAGAACCATTTTGTCCCAGCTTATGTGCTAAGTGATAGAATACTCAAGTCTGTTGTGAGTTCAGTAATACAGTATAACATGGATAGCTCGAATTTGTCGGGTCCGGCCCCGGTTTTTTAGGGATATTCTGCAAAGATGAAGAAGAAAGAAAAAAAACGGGACCGCAGGCACAGTTTGACGGATGCATGATTTCGAGTCTTCTGTGTTCGACCTATTTGTGTTATACTGTATTTTAGTAGCAAGTTTGTGTATCGGAGTGTGTTTTGCAAATTGTGTATGTGATTACATTGTGTGTGTGATTGTTTGTCATTGTGTTTATTGAAGTCTTTTGATAGTATATGTATATGTGTATGATAACTTTATAAGTAGGTAGTTATTGAGTTTCTTTCAGCATGTCAGCTCATGCTGTCAGTTTCTCCAGCTACGGGGTTGTGAATAAAGTAAATCTTGTAGAGTTCTCCTGGACTGCTGAGACTTTTCAAACACACACTGCACATCTCTAATGACAGACAACAACGTATGGAGTTTATATGAACTAAAATGCTCTGAGTTTGGGGTCCCAGTAGAACTGCCATACGACTCACGATTATAAGATAGATAAGATAATAATAAATAAATAGCATTTGTATTGCTCTATGCACTTTACACTTTATTATTACCCCAGCAGACCATAGGACACTCAGGAACATTCTCAACTTCCCAGGAAGCATACAGTGCAAGCAGATAAGATAAGATCAGATAAGATAAGATAAAATAATACTTGATTGTCTCAGAGGGAAATTTTTCTTGGCTGTGCAGGATTGTAAAAACACATGCAGGTATACATAAAAATGAAACTATATATTACAGTTTCATTACAATGTTCGTTGTACTTCTGGCATTTTGGCCAAAAAGAGACAGGGTTGTAACCCAGCGATTATCATAATATGTAATCACTTGTGTGAATCCATAACAGAAGGGTCTGAATTTAGAAATCCTGTTTGAAAATGTGTGGCAGCAGTCAAAAGTATTTCCACTTTCTTCGTTTGCCATTTATTTCTGGATGCCACGTGAGCTTTGAGTCAAATGATAACACTGTGAATGAAAGTGACTGTTATTCTTATTTCAATAATTTGTTATTGCCCTGAAGTAACTATCAAATTCTACACTGTTGTTGAGTGTGTGTATTGTAAAACTCTGAGTGTACTAAAAAAAAAGGTTTGCTGTAATTTTAAAGTTGTGGGTTGAAAGTATTTTCTGTAAGTTTTAAATCCTTTCAGTGCTATATTGGATGTCTAAAGTGCCACATATAACATGATTACGGTACTTAACACTTTGCAGTCACACATCCAGCAGTGTCACCAGAGTGACTGCGCCAGGTGACCGGAATGGAAAATTTTCACCGTCACATTATAGCGTCAAGTGACTGCTAAGTGTTAAAGCAGTGTTCTTGCCCTGAGTCGGAGCATGTATATGGTTATTTATGCACGCGAATCGCACTTGTTGATCTCTCCTTGTGTTGTTGTAGTCATTTCATCTCTGATTGTTCATAAAACGGGTTTTGTCTTTGATTTTGTCTTATTGCCATGGTTCTCTTTCATCCTCGTGTTATCAAACTTCTCGTTCTTTTTAGTAACTGATAGTCACAAGAATGTGTCATTTAGTATGAGCTGTTTTTAGCTCTGGCTTAGGGCATTATCTATTTATTTGCAATGCGTTGTACGTGACATATGGATCAGTTTTTGTCTGGTGAGCAACTGGAGACAGACAAGATGATACTTGCATCTGCTTGTATGATCTGCTGAAAATCGAAGTGGAAAAAGGGTCTTCGGAGGGGGGGGGAGGGGGTGGGCTCCATGTGTTAACTTATTACTTGACAACCTGTGTTTGTGTACTCAGAACACTACTTGTCGTTCTTACTTTTTCTGTTCTCCTATTTATTTTGTCTGTCCATTTCACTTTTATAATGATAGTTATCTTATCGATGTGATACTTTTAAACTCAAACAAAATTAAGTTGTCATTTAGTTGTTATGCTTTGTTGCAGGGCATCGCAATTAAGCAGCCGGAACTTTTAACGTTTGTTGACCACCAGTTGTTTTATTTTGTTTGTGTTGGCTGTAACGGGTCAAGAACTTGACCAGTGATTTTTGCTTCCCAGTGCAGAGCCGGATATAAGTCAGAGTATACGTGGGCTATGACTGAGGTACTGATGAAGTCATAAAGTAGCATTTGTTTTGTATGTTATGGAATCAGTGTTCTCTTTTGCAAGATGAGCTTGATTGAGGATGCAAGTGTGTGATGGAGTTTAGTGAAAAATTGTTATTTCCAGTAGATATTGGTTTTGCGTTGTGTGAGTTCAGATATCAACTAAAATTGAGCCGCCCTTCCTGTTGCTGATGCTGGCAGTGACTGATACGCGTGGGCATACTATTCTGTCTTTGGGCCCTTCTGTTAATTTGTTGATCTTTTGGAGGGTGTTTGTAATTCTTCCAGACTGTCTATGTAGTTATGTTGTGGGCTCAGTATATAAAAGTTTCCGTCTGGTATGTTAAAGTGTTTCAGTCCGAACTTTTTTTTTACGAGCATTGAGAGTGTGTGGTATTATATTCAGGTTCCTCTGTGCGTCGACGGCATTTAAAGAAATCCTAGCGAAGAGCTTTTCAGTATTTTTATCCTTCCATCTTCCAGCCAAGCCTAGCTCCCTCTTGCCCTCTGTTGAACACCACCAAGTTGTCACTCATTGTTATCTTCCTTAAAGAACTTGCCCCCTCCTTGGAAACCATTGTTCAACTTTGCATTTGATTGTGTTTGTTAGTGCCTGTTAATAGTCCTGGTGATTGGTGGGCACTCTGATCTGGTGTACTCCTTTCATTTTTGTTCAGTATTAGTGTTATGCTAATCTCTACTCCTCGTGAAATGTGGCTGTTATCATCCTGGTGTGTGGTACTGGTAAATTTCGACTTGCCAGTTTCTTGAAAATGTTATGTCACTTTGCATTTGAGTATCTTTGTACCTGTAGTGTAAAGTTCTACATGTAACTGTTGTATTGTCACGGTGCTTCAATAAATTATACCAAATGGCTTCATTAATGTATCCATATAGAATTGTATACTGTCATACAGCCATATCTTGAAGGAGTGAGTATGTGATGTTAAGTAAGAATGAAACTCTTAAAGAGAGAGAGAGACAGACAGACAGACAGACAGACAGACAGACAGACAGACAGACAGACAGACAGAGAATTTGATTTACCGGTACTGTATGTTCTTTGTATCTTCATTTAGCATTTGTTAACTTCTAGTTTTAACACATGTCTCAGCATTGGCATCACTTTTTGTATATTTGTCTCAGGGTCTTCACTGAAGCCAACAAGCAATATCTGTACATTGTACTCTGGGTCATGGAAGAAAGATACACTGCAATGTGGAGATGTCTAGTATGTTGGGGAAAAACGAGAGAGATGGGGGATCGTAGATGTGTTGTCCGTGATGAAAAATATTTCTAATGTTCACGCCCCAGTTTTTTAACTCTTTATCTCTGAGGGGAGTAAACCTACTATGCCGGGGCTTTTTTTTGGTACTTAATCTAAAAATGACAAAAAGTGTCAATAAATTACTCATTAAATCGAAACTAGCGAACCTATTATAATAGAACTGTATCTAATGAATGAACTTCCAGTAAAAGAAACCTGTTTTTGGCAATTGCCGAAAAGTAATTTGATGTTGAAGACGTCATAATAGAATGTGCCCGAGCCGCTGGGAGCGGCTTGCCGGAGATAAAGAGTTAAAATGATGATTGGGTTTTTAGAAAATTAAGATTTAAGAGAAATGCAGTTTTTATTTTTGCTTTTCATTTTTCAAAGTTATCTTCCTTTGCCACTGATCACATTTAGCTGGAATGTCACATATATTTTAATGCCAGTTTGATACAGCCTAGCGCTCACATATATAGCGATATTGGTGGGACACAAACATATTTTCATTATGTATGAATTTTGCAGATACCTGGTGTGGGTTTTGAATACAAAGAGAATATGTGAGACATCGTTGTGAAATCAGGCACTCGTCAAAATAATGAAATCGAGGACATCGATATTTTTCTGCCACTTTGCCAATTTTAATCGTTATTTTGTATTTTTTGGGCTCCGCGCTTTTTACGACCATTAAAAGACATACTTGTGTGTGGATTTTACTGAAATCATTGATTAAAGGCAAAACAATTGTAAATTTTCAGTTCCCAAGGACTCTCAAGCTTTGGAAGTCACCAAACTTTGGCGGCCATTTTCTCACTAATTTTACCTCTGAAACCAGGGGACCCCCCCACGTCTTTCAATAAAAAATATCTTGATTTCTACTAAAAATAGATGGGTTTTTTTTTGGTCAAATGTAAGACATAAGAACAAGCTTTAAGATGATAATAATATCATATTTACATAGGCCTACCCCAAAATCCACGAGCGCCTGATTTCAGCGCGCCGTGACACATATATGCCTGTCATAGGCTTAAAAAAAAATATTTCAGGACCTGCAAATCTGTTCACTGGGTTTATGTTTCTTTCTGTGCATGTTTCGCTACGTGTATGCTACTAGACTTTATTTTGAAAAACTGCAAAATTTTGTTTGTGTTTCCAGTTCTCCTTATGTCTTGTTTTTGTTTTTTTTTAAATTCTTTTGAGATGTTGTTCCCTGTTCTTTTACCATTACTCGTGACAACTGGTTGTGGTTTTTTTTTCTTTCTGCCTGTTGTGTCAATGTACTTCTTTTTCCTGAAAAATGGGTGTATTTGGATGGTGTTTTCTGTCTTTCTTTTCCGTAGCTCTTTTAAAGCATTTGCATGACCTGTTTGTCTTTTCAGTTTCTTTGTGGTCAAGGGTGTGCTTGTGTTCTACTGTGTGTGTGTGTGGGTGCGTGCGTGCGTGCGTGCGTGTGTGTGTGCACATGCACGTGTGTGTGTGTGTGTGTGTGTACGCGCGCACGTGTGATTTGATTTCCATGTTGGGAAGATTATTTGATCAAGTATCCCTATCGTTCTACAGGGTCAAAGCAGCCGGCTTCCTTAATTACAAAAACTGTCCATGTGTTTCCCTAGAAGTACAAAGTTCTATCTGCTCAGTACCTTATACCTACTTTTGAGAAATTTAATGTAAAAAATGTTCAGTTTCACAATATGTCAAGATTTTTCGAATGCAATTCTTTGAATATCCTGATAGCGGCTCCGAATAATCTTACAGTTTTGATTGAGCTGATATGTATTGGTTTCTGACCTCATGGTCTTGTTAACTCAAAACAGCCAAAAATGTCAGAACTTTGTCATTTGAAGGTGAAACTCTCACAGTGCATCAGTGTCGGCTCATGTTGAATTGTGGCGGATGTGCACGCACCGTATACTACGAGCCAACATCTCCATCAAGCTTATGGCTTATGAGATCCTCATTAGAAGGAAAAACACACAGATTTTTGAAAGAATAATTCTATTTTGTCATATCCAACTGTTTGTTTATGAATGTCTTATTTAGTTCTATTTAGAATCTATTTCCCACAGTACTACGCAGACAATTGTTTTATGTTTTTATTTTGTTCGCAAAAGTTAACAGATCTTATTTGCAATATTTTTGTTGTGTTGATATACTTGTGTGATGCATTTAAGTTTTTGTATTTTGTTCGACTTAAAAACTGGAAAATGAGTCATGTCTTTCTTCAATCTCCTCTTCTGAAAGAGACATTCTCAGAATATCGGGGCATTCTATTAACTCAGTTAGTTTCATGACGGACTATGGGGTTGGTTTGCCCTTGTTCAAATCTCAGACTTGTCTTTCTTGCCTTTGGGTCGTTTTATGAAATTTTCAAGGCTGTCAACCCATTCAGCTCGATCCAACTGGAAATGGACTTTAAATTTGGAGGTCCTACCTTTCAAATGATCTAATAGTGTCGATGAGGGCGTAATCCTATAGTTTCTTTTGCTGATTAACTTTCACAATGTATCTTGAAACTATGGATCTTCTCTTCAATTCTCAATCTCTTTTGTGTGATCTCCTGCACTGAAGAAAATGGTTGAAAAGACTGATGGACAAATTGGCTGAAAGAAAAAGGACTACTTAATAAACAGGTGAAGAGATTATAATCTTTTGAACTGAAAGAAAAAAATGAACAAACTACTTAACAATTAGATCTAGATGGAAAGATAGATCTAGCTTTATAAAAAAAAAAAGAAATGTATGTCATACAACTGAATGTAGAAAGACTGAGCTGACTAAAAAGTGTAAAATACAGACAGCTGAATAATCCAGCATGTTGTTGCAAATCCTTACGGAGTTTGTGAATGTAATTTAAATAATGAGATGTTTGCTCTTGTGTCACTTGTTATGTTATATGTTACCTGTCTCTTCATGCATTTATCTGCTGCATTCCTATGGATGTTTTGTTTGTTATGGAGATGCCAATAAACAACAATATTTTATGATGATTTGGTGCAGTTCCCGTGTCTTTTATTGTGTGCATGAGATATTTTGTGAAGTTGGAAAGATTGCTGTGTGGTTCTGATGATGTTGAAACAATTTTTAGAGCTACTTTTCGGTCGGTGTGTATGGGCGCTCTGGTGTGGTTTGCTCTTTTTTTTTTCTTATGAAACATCTATCATCCGTATCTCTCTTCCTTCTTTTTGGTTTGTTACACTCTTGTAACACCTCTAATCTTTGGCATTTATATGACCTAATTGTGTTGCAAGTGCTGTGAAATGATTTACTTAAGCAAACTAAATAAACCCTTTCTTTTCTTAGTGGGGTTTCAAGACCAGAAGACATCTTTTTGGGGGCTTTTGACTTGACAGATATGATTTCTTTTTAAGTGGCACATTACTTCAGAGCAATAATTTTCAGCCGATCTTTCCTCAGCATAGCTAAAGGAATGGATTACAAACTGGGCACAGGGTCGAATCCAGTAACATCAGTTTCCTGCCTCTCATTATTGGGTCTCTGGTTGAGTTCTAGACTCGTATGCTTTAAAGTGAGCATGCTATCGCTCAACCACAGACACCCCCCCCCCCAGGGCAGTGCTACTGACTGAAGTATCTAACATGTTCTTATGCACAGTAGAATTATTAATGGGCTGATTTATCAATGTCATACTCATACTGTGCTGGAACAACATAGGGGGAACTTCTGCTTTTTCTTTCCTCATCCTTACTATTGTCTTTATCCTCTACTTCTTTTGTATGTTTGTCACTCTCTTGTGAACTGCTATTTACGATGTCCCTTGATAGTTGAAGCAGACTTTATGCGGTTGAGGCTAGAGAGGTGAGCAGAGTAAGCCTGATTCCCTGTTTGGACTTTTCTGTTGACATCCACCCCTTGGCTATCATATGACCTCATGCAGTTGCGAGCGCCGTAAAACATTAAAAATACTAAAACAAAAGACCCCTCCCTCCAGAAAAGAAAACATCAGAACACATGTTTTGGACTACATTGATCTGTATTCGACAGTACTTCTAATTTACATTCATATATTCACACTCAGTTACCAGCCAATTTTCGATGGGCTTTTTGTCATATATAAATTATTTGTACATCAGGTTCAATTCTCATCGCTGTACCATTATCAAGGCAGGCACTCTCACATCTGAACTCTTTCTTCAGTTTAAGGGAACTTTCACATCAGGAAGTTCCACTCATTTATTTCCTTCTTTCTTTCTTCCCACCCTCATGACAAGGCTACTATCTTGGGAATAATTTAGACGCTTTTCCTTGAGTATATAAGGTGCGAATTTCGGACCAAAGAAGAATTTCATCAAGTATCCCCGTCTTTCTTCTGAGGTGTATCTCTAGTGAGCTCCTGTTGGAGTCGTCGACCTCTCAAATGATCTAACTTTTATCGACGAGGGAATTAAACGTTTACTACAAATACTACAACATATTTGTAACCTACAACCCATACCCTTCGTCTGATTTATTAACACGTGCCTCTAAAATGAACTTTTGTTTCCACTCTTTTCAATTCCTTGAGTAAATTCCTTTCTGTATAATTAATGATTCGCTCCTTCCTTTATGCAGGTTTTTCCTCTCTCCGCCTTTGTTCTTTACTTTTTCCACAGCGCTACAAGCCCATCCATCAACATCCCTCACAACTTTTACTTCTCAATACATTGCCATCGTTTCCTCCCATGGGCAATTAGCAGGTGCTATGGTGTAAGTCGTCATCTCTCTTCCTTTTCTTGTATACTACTCTCTGGTAACACCTCTAATCTTCAACACTTGTGACTTATTTGCGTTGCAAGTGTTGTAAAACTCTTATTAAGACTAAAAACCTTTCCTCCCACCACTTTTTCTTTTCCCAAAAGCCAGTGTGTCAGTCACATTGCTGACAACACATCCCAGAGTTCAGGTTGAGAGGGCTCACGATGAGAACAGTACAGCAGACTGAGATATACTATGCACAAGTGCGAAAAGTATTAGCAAAGAATAAGTGCAGTTCATGAACACAATGTTTTTTTTAGTATGAGTACACACATCGATCCAATGACTGAACAAAAGTAGCAAAACACATGTTCAATTCAAAGACATAGATTGATCGGCCTACGTGATCAAAACGAGTACAGCAAAATGTGAGGCCTCTATGACGCAACCATTAAACAAAACAACATCCAAATATCGGTGAGTAAAACAAAAGTTTTTATGCCATCTTCTGTTCAAGTGGGAGTAAATATCTTGTGTGACTGAGAAAACTCAACATCACAACCTAACAACAGAAACAAATTCACAATATTCAAATAATTATCTATTGCTATGAAAATACTGAATTACATTACACATTAGGTGGTTTCTGCACTTCATGCCTGTAAAGAAGAGATTGATAAAACATTCATCAGGTGACAAAGATACAACAATGGGAATTCAAAAATCTCATTTGAGCCTCCGTGTGTGTGGAACCACCTGCACGGTATATACCTCAGCACTTGACAACACAGCAGACACAGCACAACAAACACATTCATAGACACACACACACACAGACACCTCGATGTACACAGACAGCACAGTATCTGCTCACGTGACACAGCAGACATAACACATACAGATACAGACACACTCACAGACGCACACAGTGACAACATTGATGTACACAGACCACCACGATATACGCGTACGCTCACACAACACAGCTGTCACTCAGAACTGGGGTAATAATGCAACCAGCCCCCTCTCCTCCAAACCAAAGTCACAAAGACAAAACAGACTTATATGTGGACAGGAATTAGTCAACACAATGGTCCTGCAACTATTGCCAATTCAAACAATGTCTCGTTAGGATAGCCTACCAAAAATGCAGGCGAAAGTTTTTTACACATTCATATTTTTCTGCTTTCACAGATGATAGGGGTGAGTAAGGATAATAAAGAGAATAGAGCAACAACCTCTGCCTGTCTTCCTCCCCTCTCTCTCTCATTGTTTCTTTCTCTCTTTCTTCAGTACTTGTCCAGTTTTGAAAACAACTAGCTCATTTGAGGGCATTGGAACATTACACAAGTTTTTACAGAAAAAATTTAAAATGAACACAGACATGAGAGAATAAGATAAGAGTAAAAACTCAGATCTTCTAAGAACAAAGCATTACTTCCTTAATACTCTTGTAAAAATAAATCTAGTAGCCTGTGCACTTGTGGACTAATGAGGACAAACAATTTTATGAAACTTCAAAGGCAATTTGAAAAACGGCTCTTGATCCAGTTACAGTCGTGTGCAATGTAAGCATTATGTCATCATCGTGAGAGAGAAAAGTAATACTTCTTGTGTAAATTCACCTCAGCCGAATAACCACCACAAAAACGAAAACCAATTTTATTACCCAAGTCTGGAAAGTACACTCTATGAAGTATAAAATCTCTCCAACTGAAAAATAATTCAAACTTGAGAACTTAAAACCAACTAGATCGCCAGACTAAATCTGGAATTTGGCTGGTAAAATTACTTCAGCTTTGGTCAGAAAACAACTGCATTTAAAATGACTTAAAGTTATAAAGCCGTGTTGAAGGAAAAAAGAAAAAGTAAAGTTGAGAGAGTAGTGACAGGTTGGTGTTTGAGCAGGCTATCTTCTTTGACTTTCACGGTCAAATACTTCAGCACAGACATACACATCATCAGATATGCAATACACTCTCAACCAAACACTGACTTACACACACACACATGCACGCACACACATACACACACATACACACTCACTCACACACACACACACACACTCACACACACTCACACACATACACACACACTCACACATACACACACACACTCACACACATACACACACACACACTCACACACATACACACACACACACTCACAACAATCAAATGCACGAATATGGTTACATTTAATAAACAAACCATTGTACATTTTAGTACCCCTATTTCACACTGGTAATCCATCTCAAATAAATGAAACATCCATTGTTCAATTGACAGACAGACAGACACACAGATAGACAGATAGACAGACAGACAGACAAGGCAAAGTCTGAGAGGACAAAGCCGAGTGGTGTTTTGATCACTGCGTTCTTCAACACTGTATTGCTGGAGTTCGATTCTCTCTCCCTCTGTTCTCTAAGCAGGTGACTCATAACAGACACAGAATAACAATATCACAATAGTACGGCCCAGACCTCGCACCGTTGTGGCCAGAGCTCTCCACACAGGGGCAAATACCATCTCCCTCTTCCCACTCACACGCAGCACAAGGAGCCCCATTGGCTTGGTTTTTTTATGAGTGGACATGATTTGGCAATATATGTATACCATCAGCTAGCTTTTCAGATGTACAAAGCCCAAAACATTGAATTAAAAAAATATATAATTGCAGTTTCCTAATCTGTGGTATCGGTTGTATGTGCTCTAGAAAAACTTGTCGAAATTCAACTTCTCAAAGTTGGAGAAAGTAAGAAAACATACATAATGTAGGAACAATCGTTATTAAAAGAACGGAATATTTTTTTTTCTCACTCTTGAAAAATTTTGCAATCTGACTTTCTGGGCTTCGAACAATAGAATAGCTTACAGATGATACAGATTTTGTGCGTTTAATCCCCCTCACTCTGTCTGTTCCTTGAATACTATGGAAAGTTCAAAGTATTCACTTTCTAAGGCCAAACGAAGAAATTAAAAACAGGGAACAGTTCTTGAATTTGAAACATTTTGAGTTCCAAGTCATAACAATTTTTTTTATAACACCCTAGGATATTCGTACAATAAAACCCTTCTAAAAAGATAGCAAATTTTATACTTTTGCTGAAAAGAGTAAAAGGTAGACATTTTTTGGGGTCTTCTGTAAATATTTGAGTATAAACAGAAATTGAGGAGACTCTTCACTCAAGAAGGTCAATCAAAAACCTATTTCCTTATCATTGAAATACAAAAAGTAAGGTTTTTCCCCCCCAGATAAAGGGTCATTTTTAAGCATTCATCATTACTTGTTTTAAATATTTATGTTTTAAAACAAATTCTTGAATTGCAGTGACCTTGGTGATAAAATGCTCTAAACTTCACCATGAAGGAACCATGACCAGCTTCATGCGGACATCATAAAGCACATTTCGTTGATAACAAATTAAGCTAAAAGTAATGCTGAAGGCTGAAAGTACCATACATAAAAACAAGTGAAGAACTTTTTTCCTTACTCAAGCAGAAGCTACAACACTTAAAAAAATAACCCAGCAGCTGCCATAGACTTCAATATCTCATGATTTCATGAACTAGAAAGGTGACTTTTTACTCAATGCACAGTATTAATAATAATCTTTCTGGTCACTTTTATGATGATTTCTTTGACCGGACCCTAGATCAAATATCCGACCTAATAAAGCTAACATGAAAAGGGGCACTGCTCATCATAAATATATTATGCCTTTGTATAATCAAATGAACCTGTAATCTTAAAAAGCACTGGCTTTTAAGGATTAGACAGAAGTTTAAATGAAGCACAGTGCTGATGTCACGAATAATGGCATCTAATTTATATTCTCAATTCTCAGTCACATTCCCCTCCCCAGCATAAAAAATTGATAACATTTTTTATTTTCTCCCCCCCCCCCCCCCCAGAAAAAACTCCCAGTACTTTAAAATGGAGATATTTATTTGAGTTGGCTGTTATGAATGCAATTCTTCATGGACACAGACTTTTAATATACACAATTCTGTATTTCAATCCCACAGCAACAAAAAAAAAGATAAGAGAAACAAAATTAACAAACTTACAATATCCACATACTTAAAAATTGAACTCATATGACATTGGTTTTCTTGATTTTGTTTTTAAAATTTTCATATAAAACCCCCCCAAACAAACTGGGAGAACTGTATCGCATGTATGACATGTTGAAAATAAGCATCAGGACCTCCGTGGTGCTCAAATTGAGCACATGGTTTGTGGAGGTCGAAGGTCATATCTGCTCCTGTGTGGGGGCTGGCACTGCAAACCCCGCGCCCTGCCCTTCACTCAGAGAAAGTCCCCCTCAAGGTCGTAGATATCTTTGCCCTCTACGTAGTCGGGCGGGGGCGTGGCTAGCTGGTAGGAGGCGCTGAAGCCTTTCCAGTTGATGGTGTCATCCGAGCGGAAACGGATCAGTAGATACTCAGTGCTGGACGTGATCGGTTCTGGGATCTGTGTGATGACAAAAACAACGCAATTTCTGTCAGAAACATAACAAAAGCTGAACCTTCTCTACCGACCACCTATCCAAAAGGACCACATTTACCAGCGAACACTTTACACTTCCTCCATACGTATTTTTATATCATAATGACACGGTCCAAAATGACCACTTTTCTCCTTGATAATGGGCGGCTGTCTTGGTCAAGTTTAGCTGAACCCACTAAACTTATTGCCTACACACTCATTTAGCAGTCAGCTCAACTGCATTTAATAGCACTGTTGTTAAGCCCATAGAACATGTTGTAGAGCATGGATATGCGTTAGATAAATGCAAGCACTATCATTATTGATATGATTATTATGTCTATGATGAACGTTAAAACAACAACAATTTACTATGTAAACTTTCATACAGAAAAAGTTGGTAGTTAAAATGCACCTATATACTGATAATACATGGATAGAAGAAAAAAATATAGACATAAACAGACCCACTAACAAGCAAAACAAACACACACTCACACACACACAAACACACATAAACACCCACACACACTTGTTCATTGATATACCCACGGTCACATGCACACACATACAAAAAAATACAAACAATATGTGTCACAATGCAGTAGAATCAGGCTCTCTTCAATTTTTGGGTATGTGGAGTTATTGGCATCATCATAAAGCTTACTCATTTGACTATCTTTCGCTGAAAAAAACAACAACACATCTATCTTGAATAGAAGTCGAGATATTTGCGATTGAAGGAGGTAGGGTCGCCTGATTTCAGTGGTGAAATTAGCGAGAAAAAGTCCTTGAAAATAGACAAATTACATATTTTGTGCCTTTAATCAATGTTTTTCAGTAAAATTCACATGGAATTGTGTTTTTAAATGGATATTAAAGGTGTAGATCACCCCAAAATTTTTTTTTTTTAATGTTCAAACTGGCCGAAAAATGCTGATTTCTCGGATTTCAGTACTTTGACGAGTGCCTGATTTCACCAGGCTGGCTCACAAATAATATTGTAAACATACCTCTCCACCACAGAAGTTTCCTCGAATGGGATCCGTGTCCTTCAGCCCGTCGTACACTGTGACAACGTCATATCTGTGGACGCACAAGCAGAGACAAACCTTAGACCTTGGGACACACGCTGGTTTTTGTTTGTTTGTTTGTTGCTTTTTTAAAAAATCGGAAAACAGTTTTTGACATCTACAAAGGTTAAAACAATTGTCAAAATTGAATTAAAATCATGGTTTATCTAATCTCTCTGTGTTTCTCCCTCACCTCCCTCCCTCCCCCATCTCTTTCTTCTTCTCTCTCTCTCTCTGTCTCTCTCTCTCTCTTTCTCTCACATAAACACACACACACATAAACACACACATACACACACACGCGCACAATCACTCTCTTTGTCAGTTTCCCATCTGCCTGACAAACACATACACAAAAGTATTTTTAAAAAATCCACTGGAATTCTTTGTTACTTACCTATACTTTATGGGGTGGGGATATATGTCTGCACGTGCAGATGAATGTGTGTGTGTGTGTGTGTGTGTATGTGTGTGTGTGTGTGTGTGTGTGTGGGTGTGTTGGGGGTGAGCGGGTGTGCATGTGTGAGTGACTGTGCTTGTGTATGTATGTGCGTGTGAGTGTGTGCATGCACGCATTAGTGTGCGTGTGTGTGTGAGTGAGCGAGTGAGTGTGTGTGCGTGTGTGTGTGTGTATGTGTATGTGTGTGTATACATGCCTGTATGTGTATGTGTGTGTATACATGCCTGTATGTGCATGTGAGTGAGCGTGAATATGTATGCATCTGTGTATATGTACACATACAATAATCTGTGAGCGTCTGCTACTCACCCACACTCTGCCTCATCCTCGAGGTCAAAGGCCGTGAACTTGAGCTGTATGCGGTGACCTTCCTTGGCCTGTATCTTCCACTCACAGTCCTCCCTGTTGTCGTAGTGGTGGTCCCCGTAGCGAGCATGAGAGACCAGGGACTGAGGGGCGGCAGTGGCTACAAGATGGGCTCCACACACTGAGCGGGACAGAATACAAGTCAAAGGTCAAGTCATTATTCATACGGTCGCTTTTAAGCACAAGTGGGCTAACCAGAAAAATGTTGTTTTGAGAAAATCAAAGGTAAAGTTTTTGAACCCTTGTTCAGTTTTTTTAAAAGACAAGGAGAGTTTTCTCTATAGCCAAACAAATATACACACCAATAGAACCAAACTTCTCCAATAGGTAGGGCAATGCCAACTTTTGGAGTAGGTCAAGATTTCTGAAAACGCACAAAATCTGGGTTAGCCCGCTTGTCCTTAAAAGCGACTGTCTTACATGTAGTATAGTCATAGGCTTGTATCTGTTTTAACCTTAACCCAAAGCTCACCCCACTATTTTTCCATAATTCACTGGAAGTCTATTCAACTTTTCAGAAATATCAGCCTCTCGTGGGACCTCAAATGTACCAACCGACCCCATAAGCACTGAAACATTACTCACCATTTACACAAACATACACATACTCACACACATGCAAATACACACAAACGAAAACACTCACACACGTAAACACACACAAACACATACACACACAAACACACACCACACACAAACATACTTGCATTCACACATATGCATACATGCGTGCACGCCCCCCCTACCCCCCTCACACACAGGTGCACAAACACACACACACACACACACACACACACCCACATACACACACACACGCACACATTCACATTCATGCACACAAACACACACACAAAAAGTTGACAGTGAATTATATTATATGTGTAACACCATGGTGGAATCAGGCGCTCCTCAATTTTTGGGAATGTGGAGTTATTGGTATCGCCTTAAAGCTAGTACATTTGCCTTGCTTTTGATAAACGAAATACCCATTTATCTTGAACACAAGTCGAGATATTTGCAATTGAAGGAAGTGGGGGTCGCTTGGTTTCAGAGGTAAAATTAGCGAACAAATGGTTGCCAAAATTTGGTTATTTACATAGCTTGAGAGTCCGTGGAAACTGAAAATTTACATTTTTTGTGCCTTTAATCAACGGTTTTCAGCAAAACACACACCGAAATGGGTTCTTAAATGGACATAAGTGTTGAGCCAAAAAAACAAATTTTTATACAAAACTGCCAAACCGGCGGAAAAACGCCAATTTTTTCAATGTCATTATTTTGACGAGCGCCTGATTTCACCACGCTGCCTCATATATCTCTAACTAAGTGCCATGCCACCATTCCCAACCTGTATCATGTTCAGCCTCAAATCCCTTGCGCTGTACCGAGGCATCGGAGAAGAAGAGCATGAACATTCTGTTCCCACTGGAGGTGACTGGCTCAGGCACAAGGGCACCGCAGAACTTGCCCAGGCTTCGGGCGGTGCTGTCGTCTCCGTCAAACACCACGACGTGATCGTACGTACATTCCTGGGGTGGGGTATCCACATAAAGGCACATAACATTATGGTTATTACCATCATCGTCATCATTATTATTACTGTAACTATTATATTATTACTTTTATTATTGTTCTTGGAATGATAATTGATATTATTATTGTTTATAAATATCATTATTAATATCAGTAGAATAATGATTATCATTATCAATAAATGTTTTTTTTTTTCTTCA